ACAGTTTACATGATGGGGTGGCAATGCCAGGGGAGTATGGGAATATACGTACAGTCAAAAGAATGTGGTCCTTTTATGGAACTTAAAGGAATTAGGTCTATCTTTAAAAATAGATCAAGGCTGGAGCTCAGCAGTAGAGTGCTTGCCTAGCATGTGCAAGGCACTGGGTTTGATCCCCAGCACACATAAAAATAAATAAAATAAAGGTATTTTGTCCAATTACAAATATGCCTGTTATCCCAGCAGCTCTGGAGGCTGAGGCAGGAGGATCACAAGTTTGAGGCCAGCATCAGCAATTTAGTGAGACCCTGGTATTAAAAAATAAAAAGGACTGGGTATGTAGCTCAGTGGTAGAGCGCCCCTGGACTCAATTGTCAGTGCAAAAAAAGGTTTGTTGTAATAGGCTTAGAAGAAGCCATGGGGACAAGTCCATGCAAACAGATGGCACAAGCATGATTATCATTATCAAACAGGAAAACAGGCGGCTGTTGCCAAAGTCAGCTGCTCCTCTTGGTTCCCATGACCAACACTAGGTATGTTCATACATTACCTGTACCAGAGCCCTTTGAAGTGCTCAGTTGTGAGGAAAACCTGTAGTTACCTCAATTGACATCACCCTCTTATATTCTCGGGTCCAAATGCTTACCTTGTGATCTAAAAGGAACCCTCTAATTTTCCTCAGTCATTATACTCACTTCTGTCAAATATTTGAGGCTTTTGCTTCCCCACAACAAGCTAGGGAACCTGAGAACATCTGAACATGCAGCAGAGTGTGCTCTGCTTCCCTGGAGTGGGCTGGCTGTCCCTCCTCTACCTGTGGGAGGCGCGAGGGTTTGGCCCCCAGCCCTTCTTTCCTGGTTAGCTGAACACAGCCATTCAAGATAGGATCCCTGAAGCTAAGGTGGCATTTGTTTGGGGCAGTACTGAATCAAACCCAGGGCCTGGCGCCTGCTAGGCAAGCACTTCTGCTGGGCTACTTCCCAGCCTTGGTGCTAGTTTTTGTTCCCAAGCAACATCTGTTGTTTTTTAGCACTGGCCATTTGGGAAGGCAGGGCTCAAAACTGCCACGCTGAGTCAGGCACAGTGGTGCTGCTGTGATCCCAGGAGTCAGGAGGCAGAGGCATTAGACGGCAAGTTCCAGGCCAGCCTCAGTAATTTAGGAGTCCCTGTCACAAAATACTTGGTGAGTTGGGGGGAGGCTAGAGATGTAGCTCATGAGCACCCCCAGCTTCAGTCCCCAGTACTGCAAAAAAATAAAAACAAAGCTGACACGCTTTCATTCCCAGATCCTCCTGTCCTCCCCAACCATCAAATGAACTTGGTCACATTTTGCTACAGCAGGCTTTGGAAGATGTGGGTCAGAGGCCTGTCACATGACTAGTCTGCACTTGGCCCTAGCTGTACTATGAGTTCCTTCAAGTTGCTTCTAGTTCTGTCCAAACCATCCTGTTTCTCTACAGGGAATTTTCTCCCACTATCTCTGCCTCTATGCTCTGCTTTTCTCCTCCACCAATTCCTGAACTAATATATAAGCAATGAGCTTTGACCCCATGCAGAACTCTTGCTCAACCTTCTAAGAGTACCCTTGCCCATTGTTTCTGTTCATGTGAGGTAACAATCCCTCTGGATGAATAGGCTTGCTTTATTTTTTCTTTTCTTTCTCTTCTTCTTTTTTTTTAAACCTGATTCAATAATTCGAACTTTCCATTCAGGAGGAATTTAAAGCATTTTCTGTTAATAGGACATTCTGGATCTGAATTTCTTCAAACACCAATGTTTACTGAGTACCTGGTACACTCAAGGCCCCGTGCTGTGCACTGAGTGTGTTCAATAAATATTTACTGTCTTAATTTGATTTCCCTGAAACCCAAACTGAACTTTCTCACTGTTGTGAGAACAGAGACAAATTCCAGTGAGATGCTTTGAGTCTCAGCTAAAAGCTGTCAAATGATAATGCAGGCTTTATTTTGATTGACTTTAAATCATCTTAATTAAAATGTCATCACCTAATAAACTGGACACCCAGGGGGGTTGGAGACTCTTCTTCATTTTTTGTGCCAGATGTTCTGCCAAATTTCCATGGAAGAGTTGAGCTTAGAGTTACTCAGTAACCACAGGAGGAGCTTGGCTCTGGATTCTTGACAAGGGCTTACTCTGGGATCCAAAGAAAATAATACATCGGCCCAGAATATGAGGCAACTGGCAAGGACCAGCTAAATGACCTACTCACAGGAGTTACACTGAGGCAGGTGGCAGACTAGGAAGGAGATCTCACTGACCTTGAAAGAAACTCTGGACATGAGGGTGACCAAATGATCATTCTTTTTTCTTCATGGCTCCTCAAAGTAACCCCCAACAGCAGAGCCCAGGGAGACTGTGCTCCTTCCAACCTGGTTTCCACTCGTAACAGAGAAAAATAGTCCCACATCTCTGTTAACTTTGTGATTTGGGGCAAGTAATAAACCTAGCAAACAGCAGTTTCTCATCTGTAAGCTGGGCATAGTAATATCTTCCTGGTAGAGCTCATGAGAGAGCTTTAGAAGGCAATGTATGTGAGGCATTTAGCATAGATACTGATATGTGCTTTAAAATAGCACCTGTCAGCCAAGCATGGTGGCACATACTTGTATTCAAAGCTACTTGGGAGGCTGAAGCAGGGGGATAGCAAGTTTGAGGCCAGCATCAACAACATAGCAAGACCCTATTGCAAAAAAAAGGGGGGGGGGGCCGTGGATGTAGCTAGCTCAGCAACTGAGGGCCCCTGGGTTCAATCCCCAGTGCTACAATAAAAATAAAATAGCACCTATCATTGTAATATCATGGCTAAATACTCAAAGAGTTTGACCTAAACTAATATCTAACAAAGTAATGGTTAAATCATAGACAATGGTTAAATACCATACAGTCAATAGAGATTGTTTTGCCGGAAGGGCACCTGAAATCTTCTTTTCCTCCTGCAGACACTGAGCTGGGTTCCCCTATTCTTCCTGTCACCAGTCAGGGGCTCAGCCTGCAGGTCCTCCCTGTGCTGCTATTGCCTTCAGCCTGCCCTGGGCTGCCTCTCCGCATGGCACCCACAGTCTTGATGTCCAGCAAGTTAAGACCTTTCAGCACAGGTGACACATGGACATGTTCAAAACAGGAAACTAAATTCAAAGGTCCATACTGATGAGTCCTACCCTGCCCCTTCCTGCCCACCTCACCCTGTCACCTTCCCCTTTGTTACAACAGGAGCACCACTGTGAACACGGCCTGGCTGCTTTCCCACTGCTTTATTCCAGAGATGCTCCCGTGGCAGTAGATAGCTCCCTCATTCTTTCTGACGATGGTGTGGTTTTCCATTGTGGTGCTTGGTTTGTTTAGAAGTTAGTTCCCTAAATATTTCCTTGTAAGTAAATAGTTGTCATTAGTTATTATAAAAAATAATCCCTTGTAGATGGAAGTTATTTCCAATCTTTTGCTATGTTGAAGCAGGTTACAATTGGTGACCTTGTTTACACCCAGGCGAGCGTGTCTGTAGCATGCATTTCCTGCAGTGAAATTCCAGCTCAAAGGACAAGTGCATTCGTAATTTTGATATTTCCAAATTTCCCTTTGAAGATTTATAGCAGTTTGTACTCCAACAGTAATGGAAGGAAGTCCTATTTTGTCACAGTCTGACAACAGTGTGTTGTCTGACTTAATCTCTTTTAATTCTAATGGCTTTGTGAGAACCCTTTTTGAGGAAACAAATTACAAGGAAGGGAAGGAAAGCTGCTTAAAAAGTTGTAAAGCCTGGCATGGTGGTACATACCTGTAATCCCAGCAGCTCAGCTCAGAAGGCTGAGGCAGGAGGACCTCAAGTTCAAGTCAGCCTCAGCAACTCGGTCAGACCATGTCTCTAAATAAAGTACAAAAAAGGGCTGGTGATGTGGCTCAGTGGTTGAGTGCCCCTGAGTTCAACCCCCCATAACAACAACAAAATCTTGCAAAACGTCATTGAGGGTGCTTAAATTAGCAGGTGAAAATATGATGAAAAACAGAATAAATTCTTGAAGTTATTTAGCCAGGAGCAATGGTGCACATCTGTAATCCCAACTACCCAGGGGGCTGAGGCAGGAGAGTCACAAGTTCCAGGCCAACCAGGCAACTTGGTGAAACCTTGTCTCACAATACTCAAACAAAATAACAAGGGCTGGGGATGTAGCTCACTGGTAGAGTGCCCAGGTGCCAGCCCCAGTGTGTAAAACCGAAAAAGGAGGAGGAGGAAGAGAAACAGAAAACTAAATCTTCTTATCCACCTGCAGACACTGAACTGGGTTCCCCTATTCAGAGATTATCTTCATTTATAGTTAGTGACCTCCTGTTGGAAACTATTAAAATTTTCAGCTGCCCCACACTCTGTCTCCCAATCCCCCAATACCATTTTGCTAAGTGCTCCCAACCAGCTCCTTACTCTTCAGAGAAACTCTTGGCTGCACCTGAAGCTCCTGTGTTGGTGTCTCCCTCCCATGGCTTCAGGGCTGAGTGTGGAACAGGCCCATCTGGGCCACGGGTGTAGCCAATGTGTGTCCTGGCTCTGGCCAGAGACCTGCAGCTCGTTCCACTTTCCCTCTCTATTCAGACAGTATCCAACCCCCCAAGCCACGAGAGAGGGGATATTGTACTGAACAGGCAGAGGTCTAGAAGTTTCTGACATCCAACTTGGTAGTTAGTTCACCTATTCTTACTCCCTGAACTAAATAACCAGCCAAAAAAATAAATAAAGTAAAAAAAAAAAATCCCTACAAGGTTCTCCTGAATCAGGTATTTCCTAGCCAAGTTTGTATTCATAAACATGTTTTTTTCCTCTTCTATAAAGAAGGAGAGGAGTGTGAGAGACTGTGGACAAGAAAGGTGGTTCTTATCTTCCCTAGGCTGACTGGACTTCAGCTTCTCTATTGATTAAACACCAGGGCCTATGCTTGCTTAACCCAGGGAACTGGTCATCAGTCTTTGACCTCAGTCCTCCCCTCCTATCCAGCTCCCCCCCCACCCTGGCCTCTGGAACCTGAGTCAGATTTAGAGGAAAGAACCAGTTTTCAGAGGGATTGCCTCAGACCACACCATCTCCACTAGCCCGCCCTGGGGGATCAGTGGTCATGGGGTCCGTTGGGACAGGAACTGCAGCTGCTGGGGAAAGGTAAGAGGGGCGCGCTTGCCCTTTGCATGCTCTCACTGGCTTTCCACCTGCCACACCTCGAGAAGACCAGGCCTGGCTTGTACTTAGGGACCTGTTAAGAGATGTCATTGCAGGAGCCCGCAGCCCTCCCGGGGTAAGGCACTTCCCTAAGCCACACCCGGATCAGCCCAAGACACCAGGAGGTGCCTTCCTTTGTGCAAAGATGCCTTGCAGATTGCAGAACTGGACGCTGGAGGGGACTGTCCAGGCTGCCTGCGTGTGAACAGGGGCAGACTGAGACCTGGAGGACCTCCTGGCTCCCTCCCTGCTCCTCCTTCCACTCCGTTCCCACTGCCCGAGGTCTCACTGACCTTTGACTCAATGGCTGAAGTCCTGTCCCTTTTCACAGCGAGACACCCCCACCCCCATGCCACGCGCAGTCCCTTCTTGATCTGGGTTGTCACGGGAGGCTAGAAGTGAAGCGGTGACTCAGTTCATCATGGTTTTTCTTTATGCTTAGCACAGCTCCAAGGCCCCTCCAGCTTCCATTTGTATTTCCAAATATGCTGAAGGACAACATGGGAAGCGGAGGGCAATGGAGTCGGGAGATGGATGGCAGATTCCCGACCTGCCTTCCTCCACCTCTCTCCCACGGTGCACCTCTTTCTTCAGAGCTGCAGGGTTGGCCTCCAACCACGCAAAAAGATAGATGTCCCTCAGCCCCTCTCGACTCCTAGCCCCCTGCTTGCCCAGCAGACCACCTCAGTGGGGTTCTCTGTATTGCTGCCTTTTTCTGCCAGGGGGAGGTGAGGAGCCTCAGTCCCCAGATACAGAGTCCCTTCTATAGACCCAGGGACCCCAAACCACCCTAAGGAAGTCCTAGCTCCGTCTTATCTATAGAAATATTACAGAGATGTGATCGCTTGGTCTGTTTTATTGGGTGTCCCAATTCTCTCTCTCTCTCTCTCTCTCTCTCTACAATTCTACTGCTTCATTTTCTAAAAACCGAGATTAGCTTCATTTATATCTAGTGATCTCCTGTTGAAAACTATTAAAATTTTCAAGCAAAGAAAAAAAAAAAAAAAAGATGAAGGCCTGATCCCAACCATTCGGGAGGCTCAGGCAGGAGGGACCACCAAGTCTAAGGCCAACCTGGGCAACCTGGTGAGACCCTGTCTCAGAACAACATTTGAAAAAAAGAGCTGGGCTGTAGGTGAGTGGCAGAGCGCTTGCCAGGATGCACGAGGCCCAGGGTTCAGACTGCTGCACGGGAAGAACGAACAGGAGGCTGGGGGTCTGAGTTAAGGCAGGGGCAGCGGTTGGTGAGAGGAAAGGGAAGCAGAATTCATCAACTCTGGGGTCTAACTAAAGAAGGAGGAAGAGAGAGAGGCATCCGCGGCGACTCAGGGGTCCCATTCCCTGACCTGAGCTGAGGAAGGGAGACAAGGTGTGCCGGGAGAAAGACGCCCTGGCGGGCCCTACTTCACAGGAACCTGCAGGACTGCCAGGTGGGCCTGTGTCCCAAGCAGTGGGCCTGGGCTCAGTGGGAGGGCGGAGCCTTGGTTCCACACAGTCTTTCTCACCCCTTCTCTTCTAAATCCCAAACATCCTCCATGATCCAGGAAATCCCGCTCCATCTGGGAGGGCTTCCCGCAGCAGCCTGGCCAAGCGGCTCCCTCACTTCCCCAAGCCCCCCGCCCTGCGCCCAGCAAGGGCCTCAGCAGGGGCCATCTGCTCGTGAGGAGTCTGGGCTTGTGCTCAGCTGGAGGCCTGGCCCTCCTCCTGGCCACCTGAGGGGCCGCCCTCCTCAGCTTTCCTGGGCAGACCCCTGGTGGCCAGTGGCGTGGGGCTGCCCAGCCTACTTAACTCAGCCTTCTGTCCCTCTCAGGAAAGCGTGTCTTCTCTGCTTGCTGCTCATTGGCCTCTGGGGCTGTGTGGCCTGCCATGGGAATCCTGTGGAGGACATCTGCACAGCCAAGCCACGGGACGTTCCCGTGAATCCCATGTGCATTTACCGCTCCCCAGAGAAAAAAGCGCCTGAGGATGAGGGCTTGGAGCAGAAGATCCCCGAGGCCACCAACCGGCGGGTCTGGGAGCTGTCCAAGGCCAATTCCCGCTTTGCCACCACCTTCTATCAGCACCTGGCAGACTCCAAGAATGACAACGACAACATTTTCCTGTCGCCCCTGAGTATCTCCACAGCTTTCGCTATGACCAAGCTGGGGGCTTGTAACGACACCCTCAAGCAGCTCATGGAGGTACAACGGGAGCTCTCTTCAGCTTCTTTGCTGGGAGCATCTTTTGGTTTACCAACACATAGGGACCTCATTTCAGATTATTTCCTTTGAATCACTACTTCATGTGTCATGACTTTTTTTTTTTGGTACTGCAGATGGAACCCAGGGCACATGCTAGACAGGTGCTCTCTACCACTAAGCTGAATCTCCAGTCTGCTAATTTTTTATTTTTGAGACAGGGCCTCACTGAGTAGTTGCCATCCTCCTGCTTCAGCCTCCTGAGTCACTCAGAATTACTACCTGGATGACCGTATTATAGAGTTTCCTCTTTTAGGGTGTTTTTTTTTTTTTTTTTTTTAAGGTTGGCTCCTAAATATGCTCATCCAATCGTACTCCCTTTAAAAAAAAAGTTAGTTGTTAATGTACCTTTACTTTATTTATTTGTATGTGTATGTAGTGCTGAGAATCAAACCCAATGCTTCACACTAGGCAAGCACACTACCACTGAGCTACAACCCCAGCCCTCTTTAGGGTGTTTTTAAATGGGTGTAGCCCTGTGTTTCTTAAAACTTCTCTTTTTAGTCATTCTTTCATTATATATTTATTCACTCATTTGATCATAGTTATGTGTTTATTCAGCACTATCTGTGTGCCAGACAACGTACCTGGAGGTGTAGACTCTCAGTTCCTGTCTTGGTATGGGAGCAGAGCTCCGGCAATGTGCTCTGTGGGTGAAGACTCGAGGATTGCCAGGCACAGTAGCACAAGTGTGTAATCCCAGTGACTTGGGAGGCTGAGGCAGGAGGACTACAGCCTCAGCAACTTAGTGAGACCCCAAGAAACTTAGTGTTGGGGCTGGGGATGTAGCTCAGTGGTAAAGTGCCCCTGGGTTCAATCCCCAGTACCAAGAAAAAACAAAAAAGGACCTTGGATTTTACCTTGAGATCTGGTGCCAGGGAAGCCAAGGATGTGAGAGCTTTTTCTTGCTCTGGGAAAAACTAATCATTTCAGATCAGTGACTTAGTCCCCATCCTGCTTTTTTGTGGGAGGGAAGTGGGAAAAGATAAGAAATGCCATAAATTAAGTAGCCAATGATACCAGTATAAGAGGTCATAGATGGAACACTAGGTCCTTAATCCCTCCATAGTGCCTGGCTGGCTTTCTTCAGGTTTTCTCTCCTCTCTCTCCTCACCTCCCTCCACCCCTTTTTTCTTTCTATTCTCTTTTTTTCTTTTTCTTTTCTCATTTTTTGTCGTAGAGGGGATTGAACCCAGCACCTCACGTGTGCCAAGAAAGCACTGTACATCAGAGCTCCACCTCTAGCCCTTCTAATTTATTTTTTTGTGTGTTACCCCAACACACAAAAGAGACTTATTGAAGAGACTATCCTTTCGCTGTTAGGTACTCTCAATGCTTATTTATTTACTTATTTTTGTTATGGTGGGCACTCTACCACTGAGCTACACCCCCAATCCTTTTTAATTTTAAGATAGGATCTTATTGCCCAGGCTGACCTTGAACTCACGATCCTCTTGCCACACCCTCCCAAGTAACTGGGATTATAGGCATGGCCACTGCACCTGGGCTAGAAACTTTTTTTTGTACCAGGGATTGAACCCAGGGGGGCTTTACCACGAGCTACATCCCCAGCTCTTTTTATTTTTTTATTTTTTGTTTCAAGGCAGGGTCTTGCTGAGTTGTTGAGAGTCTCACTAGGTTTCTGAGGCTGGCCTAGAACTTGGGATGCTCCTGCCTCAGGCTCCTGAATGGCTGGGAGCACAGGAGAGCCCACCTGGCAGAAACTGTTAGGACCCATGCTACCGCCTTCTCCTCAGTTGCTCTGCATACATTGGTGTTGGTCTCAAAGCACTTCCACATACCACTGTCTCTCGCCCCAGGTGAGAGTTTAAATCTGATCTTTCCTATAAGACCAGAAACAAGGTCTAGGGGGTGGCTTCAGTTGTAGGACACTTGCCTAGCAATGCACACGGCCCTGGGTTTGATCCCTAGTGCTGGGAAAAGAAACAGAACACCGTTTCCAAACTAGCAGTCCTTCAGGCCCTCCTTTCTACAAGATCTTCCAAGACAAGATGCCATGTATTAGAGAAGTACGGTTGAGCTCTATTTCTCTAGAGAAAAGAGAAACTCTTTTTTTTTAAATATATATATTTTTAGTTGTAGTTGGACACAGCACCTTTATTTCACTTATTTATTTTTATGTGGTGCTGAGGATCAAACCCAGGGTCTTGCACGTGCGGGGCGAGCGCTCTACCACTGAGCCACAACCCCAGCCCAAAGCACAATCTTTAAAAAGAAAAAAGTGGGGGCATACTGGAACAAATCAGGTAAACCACAGTCAAAGGATAAAAGCGGCAGGCCTTTGTCACCTGAGGACAGCATGGCTGGGAGGGGAAGAGCAGCCTCACCGTTTCGCCTTAGGATGGTGAAGGTAGGACGGGCCTCTGACAACTCTGTGGTTCTGACTGGCACGGCGACCTTTGAGTCCTTTTCAACTTGGAGACTCTTTTATTATGGGCCCATTTATTCCCTCGCTGGACTCTCTTCCTTTCTCACCCTCACACAACCAGTATCCCAGAGTCCCCAGGAGCTGCTGACCCTGAGGATGCCACGACAGTGTCTGTTACGAGCAGAGACGTGGTCTTGTGTCCATGTCTCCCTGTCCAGCATCATCAAGAGGACCATTCCCATTCCAGTGAGAAAGCATCTCTGTGTTGGTGGGTGCCCTTTAGAGAATGTAGGTGGCACCCAGTCTCCGTCTTTCCCTTTGTCCTTCCTGCCCTTTAGACTTCTTTTATCCATTTATTCATTTTAGAAATATGAGCTGAGCTCGCATGCCATGCCAGGCGCTGAGCTTGGAGTAGCTGACACTGAGGTCCCTGCTGTGCTCACCACCTTGTCACCCAGGCTGCCCTACAAACCCAGCATCTTCTCTTCCTTCTCTAGGTTTTTAAGTTTGACACCATCTCTGAGAAAACATCTGATCAGGTCCACTTCTTCTTTGCCAAACTGAACTGCCGACTCTATCGAAAAGCCAACAAATCTTCCACATTGGTATCAGCTAACCGCCTCTTTGGAGACAAATCTCTGACCTTCAATGAGACCTACCAGGATATCAGTGAGGTGGTCTATGGAGCCAAGCTGCAGCCCTTGGACTTCAAGGTGAGGTGTAGGTGTCCTCTCTAACCTGAGTTTTTCCTCTCCACTCAGAAACTGAGGAGGTAGAAAAACAGGGTCCAAATTAACTCTGCTCTGCAGGCTGAAGACTGGTGGAGGATGGTACAAGTCCATACCCCTGGGATACATATTCCTACTTGATACATCCTCAGAAATCAATGGTACCCATACCTAGGTTGTAGAGGTTGCTCTGAAAAACTTGCATAAATCATGGATTCTTCATTTGCATCACTATGTTCAAACACATACCAAAGGCTGTTCTGGAGATGCTAGTCCTACAAGAGACCTATTTAATGTAAACAATTACCATGGTCAAATAAAATGGTATATGATGCTCATTTCACATTCTCAAAAATTAATGAAGCACAGAAGCTATTAAGTGTTCTGAGGAGTTCTGCAACAAAGAAATACGCTGGCATTTCTCCAACTGATTTGCCAGCCAGGCATTCCTCCTCCCTGTCCTCTCAGCCTGCCACAAATCCCTGCTTCCCACAGGATGTGTGTTTGGAAACTCTGCTTTTGTGGGTTCAGGTTTTCCAAAGTCAGAAAAGATAATATTTTATCTTCTTTTCCCAGACTCTCTTCTTTTTTGCTGTTTCTTTTTTTCTTCCTCTTCTTTTTGTTCTTTCTTATAGATTAATTAGCTGTATGGAAATTTGGTGGCACTGCATTATATGAATGAGATTTGCTCAGTTTGGGGAAAAGTGATGCTTCCAAACCAAATTGTGGGAGAGCACAGAGAGATGGTGAGCAAAATGAAATGTTTCACGTGACTATGGACAAGCAACTGAACAGCAAAGGTTTGTTTCCTGTTCTCCTTAGGAAAATGCAGAGCAGGCCAGAGTGACCATCAACAAATGGGTAGCCAATAAGACTGAAGGCCGGATCACTGACGTCATTCCCAGGGACGCCATCAATGAGCTCACTGTTCTGGTGCTGGTCAACACCATTTACTTCAAGGTACTCAAAATGGACCTGGGGGTCCCCAGGGACTTCCTCTTCCTCTTTCACACCGTTGGGCACATGTAGACATTTCCCTTCTGTGAAACAGTCCATGTGTGGTCTGGGCAGACATAAATTTGCTGAGAGCATAGAACTTTTAGGACCATGGCAGCTGGGCTGAGGTCCAGGAGGCTCAGTCGTATCCCTAAGCTTGGGGCAGAGTACACACACTCACAAACCCCACGTGTGATACTTTCTGTCATCCTGTTGACTCCACTTGAAATCTGGAACAAAATGACAGCATCTGTTGACAATTCTCAGTGACAAGATTGTCTGGAGTGGTTTGTACAGAGACTCAGCTCCTCTGCCTGAAGCTTCTGAATCTCTATGTGCCAGGCTCACCTCAGATTTAGCAGAGGCCTAGTTATTTGACCATGTAGATGGCCTTGTCTTCCTCGGAGTCAAGAGTTCCAAGGACTTCATAATTGATTCCATTAAGAAGGAGAATCAAGAGGATAGTGCAAACAAACAGATCCCTGGCTTTCAAGAGGCCCACCAGCAGAAGTTGAGTTGTGGCATACTGTTCATTCTGGGGCGTGCTCCATATGCATTCTCCCCTCCTTCCTCCAGGAGGCCCAAGGGGTTTAGTCTGTCTTTGCTGTTGCCAATCACACTGTCTCTTGGGATCCCCCTCCCCAAGAATAGAGTTGAGGACCTTTCCATAGTGTAGTAGCTCACCCCTAACAGTTTACAGAACAATTTACCATTTGTTTGCCTCCTCTTCTATTTCCCCAAGAGTTCAGTAGTTTTTAAAGATAGTGGGAATCCAAGAAAGAAAACAGAGCTTGGTAGCCCTTTTGATACAACACCAAAAAAGAGAACTTGAGTCACTTATATAGATGAGTTTCAAATCCTGACTCTTCCTAGTGTGTGAATTTGTGTGAGAGCCACCAGGAATTTCCTCTGGAAATTTTGGCATCTATAAGATGATGATAATGATACACTTACCTCATGGGGTAACAGAGGAGACTGAAAAAATCAATCCATGTAAATTGCATGAAGTAGTATCTGTATGCCCCTACTGTACACAGTAAGCATTTTATAAATATTAGCTGTCACCAGCCGCTAACCTTACCCAGAGAAGCCATCACTCAGAGTTAAATGACTTGTCCCAAGAGGTAAGAGCCAAAAAGTGACAAGGAATGGTGCAGGAAGTCAGTCAGAACCCAGCCCCTGCCTCAGTGCCACCAGGCCAACCCTCGGTTATCTGTCTGGCCTCTCCTTGTCAGGGGCAGAGCCAGAACTTCAGAGGTTAGCCCTGCAGAATGAGGCTGGAGGAAGGCAGAGAGCAAAAGACAACTTGAGGGCTGGGCTGGGGCTCAGGGCGGACCACTTGCCCAGCATGTGTGAGGAACTATGTTCGAATAAAAATATTTTTTTTAAAAAAAGGTAACTTGGATTAAACTCGTGAACTTGAGAGGAAGTTTATAGGTTATTCTTGGTTTTAGCTTTTATTTTTCTGGATTATAAAAGCAATAGTCACTGCTGAAATTTTGAGAAATATAGGAAGTACACAGAACAAAACCCATTTATAATTCCATCACTGCAATACAGTTGTTATTAATCTTTTCATGCCTGCTACTTCAGTATTCTTCCTAATAATTATACTTACATATATTAATGTAATAAGATATTTCTCATTTCAATAATATTCTTCTATGAATGTTTTTGTTCTTGCTTTGTGACCATCTCTCCTGGCGCCTTCTTCCAGGGGCTGTGGAAGTCAAAGTTCAGCCCTGAGAACACAAGGAAGGAGCCGTTCTACATGGCTGATGGGAAGACATGCTTAGCATCTATGATGTACCAGGAGGGCAAGTTCCGGTACCGGCGTGTGGCAGAAGGCACCCAGGTGCTTGAGTTGCCTTTCAAAGGAGATGATATCACCATGGTGCTCATCCTGCCCAGGCCTGAGAAGAGCCTGGCCAAGGTGGAGCAGGAACTCACCCCTGAAGTCCTGCAGGAGTGGCTGGATGAGTTGTCAGAGATGATGCTGGTGGCCCACGTGCCCCGCTTCCGCATTGAGGACAACTTCAGTTTGAAGGAGCAGCTGCAAGACATGGGTCTTGTTGATCTGTTCACCCCTGAGAAGTCCAGGCTCCCAGGTTGGTACAGGAGGAAGTTTCCTCCTCTCTGTCCCAAGGTGGTTTGAGCAAGGGAAAGAGTGGAAGAAAGAGCAGAACAAAGCCACGGGTGAGGACACCTAGATTCTGATACCAGCTCTCTGCTAACTGTGGAAAGTCCTTCCTCTTTTGAGGCCTCAGTTTCTTCTATGAAAGGGGAAATTTGCTCTTGTATTGCCACTGGTCCAGTTAGCCCTAGTGCCCTATGAATCTGTATCTTACAGAGGAGATGGAACCATGTGGAGAAGAACTCAAAAAGGAATTAGAAGCCAGGTGAAGAAGCACATGCCTGTAATATCAGTGACTCAGGAGGCTAAGGCGGGAGGATGGCAAGTGTCTGACGGAGGCCAGCCTTGTCAACTTAGTGAGACCCTGTCTCAAAATAAAAAAATAAAAAGGGCTGGAGAGCTCAGCGGTAAAGCACCCTTAGGTTCAATCCCCAGTTAAAAAAAAAAAAAGTTCTATAAGATGGTAGGTCATTGGATTTATCTTTACTGGGCTGACAACTATAAACTAGTTCTGAAGGTCAACCCACCTCTTAAAAATGTGGCTAGATGGAAAAGAAAGCTATTCCTACAAAGTAGGTGAGGGCCTTTTTTTAAAAACAAAATCCTTCTGAGCATGGGGATGCACAGTATAATCCCAGCTACTCAGGAGACTGAAGCAAGTTTGAGGCCAGCCTTAGCAACATAGGGAGACTTTATTTCAAAATGAAAATTTAAAAAGGGCCTGGGGCTATAAGTCAGTGATGGAGCGCTTGCCTCACATGTGTGAGGCACTGGGTTTGATCCTCAGCACTACATAAAAATAAGATATTGTGTGTCTATAATTAAAAAAATATTTAAAAAATCAAAAAGGCTGGAGATATAGCTCAGTGGTAGAGCCCCCCTGGGTTCAATTCCCAGTAGCAAGGAAACAAACAAAAATCCCACCTTTCCCCACCCACTCCAAAGAGCTGAAGGTTGAGGTTAGATCCACAAGAGCCAGGCTGAACTAGCCCAAAGTACTCTATTATTTTTAACACATATTCACTGTGGAGGTATTATTAGGTGAAGGCCCAGGATTTCTATTTTTCAAAAAAATCCCAAAGGACCTCTTAATTCCAACTGAATTCCTGTCTGTGCGTTGAAGTCAACTTCCTCCCATTTCATAGAACCTTCTCTGGACTTCCTCCTAGGTATTGTTGCAGATGGCCGGAATGACCTCTATGTCTCAGATGCATTCCACAAGGCCTTTCTTGAGGTGAGTTCCCTTCCAGTGCGGTTTTCTGAATCTCATGTAACTGGCAGTCTTGCTGCACTAGCCCTTATGGCCTAGATGCTAGGACAACTGGACACAGGAGTGGAGGGGGCAACTTCTAGCACCTCAACCCAAACCTGTAGTCCTCTCCTCTGTGAGGTCTCCTGCATATGACCCTCCTCCGAAACCCTCATGATGGGGCTGTCCCAGCCTCCTCTCCCCACTCCACATAGCAGGTCACACAGGACACAGGGACACAAATATTTAGGGGAGGGTGACACAGAAAAAGGAACAATCAAAGGCCACTGAGAAGGACTTCAGAGGAGGAGGAGGAGGAGAACCAAGAGGAATTTTAAGAAAACAGAAAGTATCTAGCAAGAAGATTGAAAGTGAATGCAGTTACCTTTTGCTGAGGAATTTGGACAGAACATGCCTAATTGTACCGGTGTGGATCAGTCCTGAAGAGTGTTCTGGAGAATGGGAGCACTAGACTACATTGCAGGAAATGAAAAGTTAGGTGGACAAATAAATGTGTACCCTCTTCTTGAGAGATTAATATGCATACTGCCATGTTGAGATGTGAGAAGTCCCTTACCGAGGAAGACAGTCAAATACTGTTTAACTTACGCTCCCCCAACAGAGGCCTCCATAGAACGATAGCTCTGTATCACTTACGGAGCTTCTGGTGCTCAGAGGGTAAACTGTGGACCAACAGTGTTAGTCATCTGGGGCTCTTCACCATTGGAAATTCTGAGATGGGGTTTGAGAATCTGTTTATTTACAAACTCTTAGGGGATTGTGATGTACAATCAGATTTGGGATTTACCAGTGTAGACCATTCTTCATGGAAGCCAGACTGTAAGGCAAAGGAGATGGACCAATGTTAGAGATATTCCCAGGACTGAGGAAGCTGTGAAGAAAGGAGGTTGTCCCAGGCATGGTGGCACATGCCTATAATCCCAGTGGCTTGGGAGGCTGAGGCTGGAGGATTGAGAGTTCAAAGCCAGCCCCAGCAAAAGCGAGGCTCTAAGCAACTCAGTGAGACCCTGTCTCTAAATAAAATACCAAACAGGGCTGGGGATGGGGCTCAGTGGTTGAGTGCCCCTGGTTTTAATCCCTGGTGCCAAAAAGGAAAAAAAAAAAAAAAAAAAAGGTTGTGGTCAAAGAAAAAGGTGCAGAGTGTGATGCCAGTAAACATGGTTCCAAGGCTCAAACTCAGTAGGAAAGGGTTAGTTGTGAGGGAAGTGGCTCAAGGGACAGGAGGAAGTCTGCAGACTGAAAGATCCTGAACCTGTTGGTAAAAGCTCTAGTCTGCTATTAAATTTAGTACCAGAATGAGCATGAAAAAGACACTGTGGAGAGACAGAGGGTAAGGAAGGGAGAAGGAAGAAGTGGAAGGAAGACCAGGAGAGGGGAAAACACCATTAACCAGGACCACAAAGCTCAGGGACCTGAAGTTCTCACAGGGACAAAGCTAGTGATATTCTGGGTAGTCAGGCAGCATTTTCTGATGTCCTTCTAGATGTAGCGATTCTGTCTCTCAGCCAAGTTCAAATAGCTTTGTCTCAGTCTGTTACTTCAAGAAAAACCCATCTTATCCAGCCAGAGGACCCTCTTCATAAGCTGAGTCCTGAGTAGCGGTTTGGGGTAGTTACATCTGCAGCTCTGACCTTGGGTCAGACTTTCCTTCGGCAGTTAGTACAAAATAACCTTGTGACACCATGTTCAATGATGCCAGCCGGAATCATTGTGTACATTCAGACTTCTGGCTCAGGGGAACATGAGTGAACTCCTGCAAGGCTTGGATGGATGTACACAAGTGCATTACATTCACTGGGTCAAAGAATGAGTAGAGCCAGGTGCGGTGGTGGCGCACACCTGTAATCCCAGCAGCTTGGGAGGCTGAGTCAGGAGGATCATGAGTTCAAAGCCATCCTCAGTAAAAGTGAGGTGCTAAGCAACTCAGTGAGACCCTGTCTCTAAGTAAAATACAAAATAGGGCTGGGGATGTGGCTCAGTGGTGAGTGCCCCTGGGTTTAATCCCCAGTACCTTAAAAAAAAATAAAAGAATTTGAGTAGAAGTAGGGTTCTGGAGGGAGCTTGCTCTGACCCATTCTTTACCACTGGAAGACAAACAGCCTTTCGAGGAACTGCCCATCTGCGAATGAGGCCCCAGCCTTGGAGAGCCACAGAGCAGCTAATACAGCAGTTGTGTTTCCTGTGTGACTTGCAGGTGAACGAGGAAGGTAGCGAAGCAGCAGCAAGCACTGTCGTCAGCATCGCCGGCCGTTCGCTGAACCCCAATAGGGTGACCTTCAAGGCCAACAGGCCCTTCCTTGTTCTTATAAGGGAAGTTGTTCTGAACACTATTATCTTCATGGGGAGAGTAGCCAACCCTTGCGTTCACTAAAGTATTAGTATTCTTTGAGCCTCTTCCTATTTTGGTTTGTGAATAGAAGTAAAAATAAATACAACTACTCCCATCTCACAGTTGTGAAAGGACTTTGCTACCTGAAATGAAGACAAGGGAAGGAAAAAGAGAGGCTATTGGGGCATTTGGTAAAATGATGCTTTCAACTGTTCTCTCCCCCTTGCACAATCTTAGGTCAAGAAAATGAAAGAGGAGGCACCATGGCTCACGCCTGCAATCCCAGTGACTTGGAAGCTGGGGCAGGAGAACTGCCAAGTCCCAGGCCAGCCTGGGCAACTTAACCAGACTCTGTCTTAAAATAAAATTTAAAAAGGACTAAGATGGGCACATGCCTGTAACCCCAGTAGCTGGGGTGGTTGAGGCAGGAGGATCACGAGTTCAAAGCCAGTCTCAGCAATTTAGCGAGGCCCTAAACAACTTAATGAGACCCTGTCTCAAAAGGGCTGGGGATGTGGCTCAATGGTTAAGCATCCCTGGGTTCACTCCCTGGTACAAAAAAAAAAAAAAAGAAAAAGAAAAGAAAGAAAGAAACAAACAAAGAAAGAAAGATCGATCCTGAAAAGGTAGGGCTAACTGGAATTCTCAATATTCCCATCACATTAAAAACTTCCAAAAACAGAAACAAATTGATCTCTATATACAGACAAGACAGATTCAAATCTGAGTATTAAACCATTTAATTCTCAAACCACTCACATGCATAATAGTCTTTTACACAGTGTTAAAATAAAGAGGAAAATGCATTTTCATACAAACAGAATTTCAAGTATACATTAATAGACTTTTCGGATTACTAACCAAGTTGCTAAGATTTCATTCACATTGTTCTTAAAGCTGTTCAACGAGAAAGCTTTTGCTAAACTGCTTTAAATATGTTCATATAAACCCACATCTTAATTCTTCTGGGAATTGCCCTCCCCCACCCTGCTGCCCGCCCCCCTCCCCAACACCACAGGGCTCCTGGGGTTCTAGGAGACATGCTACCCTCCAAGAATAACTGGCTTGTCACCAGGGGAAGGACAGTCTGCAGGAGGAGAGTGCGAGGACACCTGTCAAAGTAAGGGAGAACCAACCTGATACTTGGGGACGATGCAATTCTGGATCGTATCACTTGAATTTTAATCAAAAAAACCCCTCGGCCTCCCACAAAACAAACAGAAGTTCCTCACAATTTGGTAGCTGACAAAATCACCTAGTGTTAGGTTTTTTCCTTTTCTTCCCTCCAGTGAAATTTCCAAAATCAGTGTAGGCATTTTGAACAATTTCAACTTGGTGGTTGTTTCTTTCTCCCTTTGGCAGGGAGTAGGTGGGGGCAGCTTAAAAATGGATATTATTTGTGTGTTCACAATAAGACATTTGGTTAATCTGATGGGTCTGGCAAGAGTTCTCCCTCCTCCACTCTCCTCCTGAAGTACTCTGGCTTCAGAGCCAGAACAGCCACTCTCCTTAGGAATTAAAGTGCATTTTTCAGTAAAGGGGACAGGGGAGAGGTGGTGATTCACACTGAAGTGATTATGGTTAAGGGAGGGTGGGGTGAAAGTCCTAACCCTATATATAGGTATTTATAATTAAGGACATGATAAAAACAGATAGTCTTAGGAAATAAGATGCGAAAGGCCAGTCTGGCATCCTGGCTCGCAGGCCTTTCGGAGGCATCTGTATTATTAATGGAGTAGCTGCTGCAGATGAAAGACACAAGTCTCAAATGTTAGGGTTTTTCAAAAGGAAAAAACAGACTGGTAGGTTCTTAGTTAAAAATACTCTATCCCATTCCCTTCCAGAGTAACATTTTAGAAACTGATTGTCTGTTTTAATACGAATCCAAGTTGTGAAAATAATAGCAAGTTGTGAAAAACTGTTACGTTACTTATATATACTACAGTAGCCTTTAGAAACTCAGGAAGAAGCAGGCACAGTTGATTCTTGTTATCAATATCAACTGTAGGGGAGTGAAATCTTCCTATGATCTCTTTATTTGATAGCTACCACCAGAGACTTATTTTCTATTTTACTCTCAATGCTTTATCATTTATTGGTGGGGAGTGGGGAACCAAGTTTCCCAAGGAGAAGTTAAATGCTACATTATAAGCTGTACAAAGTGATGGGTTCAAGGTGAGAAGGGGAAACTCGTCCTGGGTTCTGGCCTCTGAGTCCAGTGTGATCTGCTTTTCACAGTGACCAGTGGGAAGGCACAGTGCCAGGGACAGGTAGATGGGGAGAGCTGTCACCCATCGTATAAGCACCATAGAGAACAGTTGGATTTCTTTCAGACTGTGTCCATCTGAAGGAAACCACATTTCTGCTACACTGACTTTTCTATCTTTGAACCCTCAACCTTCTCTTTGTGTCTCAGGAGGCAGTGCATAAGTGGGTTCCATCCCCAAATTATGAGGAACCAGGAAATCTGAATGTTCTCCCTATTTCTCCCTTTACTCAAGTAGGCTGACAGGCCAAAAATCCAGAGTTCTGATTTTAAGGTTTCTTTAAGGGAAAGGAAGATACTGACGTTCCTGACTCAACTAGTGAATCCATTTTAAGTTCTGCTATTGGATCACAAAATAATGCGACAGGCTAAGAATTGTGCATGTATATCTAGGCAGATGAAAAGCTGGTGGATGAGCTGGAACACACACTTCGTTAGCCTATAATATGGGAACGTTTTCCTTTGCTAGGGCAGGAGGATGGGCAGTGGTGGACTGTGGTCAGGCTAGTATTTGCTTAGTTGTTTCAGAAAGGATTCCCTAGAGGTTTAGGGATCAGCAAGCCAACTCACTAGGGCAGAGGTTGACCTAACTTCACAGTCCATCTGGGAAATTCCTTTTAAGGAATTTGTTTCATTCCTTGTTTAAAACATAGTACGTGTTTATAATTAATCTTTTACTGTTTCCCCATCCTCCCCCACCATTCTCCCCTGCTCAAAATCTTAAAATTCCAGTGCGATATACTTTGCATAAAGTTCAGCAATATTTCACAGTACTCCATAATGTTCTTCAGGGGCTACTCTTTTTGGAGTCCCACAGGCTGTTGCTTTTGTCTTTCCACTAATAGGAAGACTTCAGCAAATCTAAGGTCAGAAGGCCTGTCTGATGACACCATGGCACTGACATGCTGAGCAACAGCAAGGCCTAAATGCACTTCAAACCAACTTCATAGTCAAATGCTAACCCAGTCCTCTGCACTAATCAACTTTTTCCTCAACCTACTTTTTCTTTTTGCACACACCACCTATTTGAAGTTCAAATTATCAATAAGTTATACATAATACATGAATGAAATTTTCTGTGGTGTTGAGAATACTGAGAAGACAAGACTGCTATATTTGAACTTGCTCTTAAACAAATTTCTTTCATGAGTTAGAAGTCACTTGGTGGCTAGTTAATTTGAACAGTGGTTCTCACTTTTTAAGGGTAATGCAACAATTCTCCCCTCCCTATTACCAGGTGTGAGGTTGCCAAAGGCAGTAACAAACCCTGACTGCCATGAAAAACACACCTTTACTACCTGGGGTAAGAATGGAAGATATGGAATCTCATTGGGAATTACTGGGTGATGTCTTTTGCCATACTGGAACAAAGATGCTAAAATAACTCATTTCACATTTCATATAATAATCAGAAACATTTATGCCTTAGTTAATTTCATTTACAAAGAAATTCAAGGAAAAGTGAGTCACTTAACACAGAAATCCCACTGAGAAGACAAACCAGGAGACAATGTATCAAGATGGCCCCAAGCATGATCCTTCTCTTCCCCATCACCAATGCTACCTCACTGTTTACAAATAGCTCTTTTAATACATTCAAGGACTCTATTTCAGCTACCAGAGTTGAGAAATCTCTACTCAACCTTCCCACCCCCAATAAGCCTGTGATCCCAACGACTCAGGGAAGCTGTGGCTGTGGCAGGAGGATCGAAAGCTCAAAGCCAACCTCAGCAATTTAGCGAAGCCCTAATCAACTTAGTGAGACTCTGTCTCAAAAACAAAAAACAAACAAACAAACAAACAAAAAGGGCTGGGGATGTATGTAGCTCAGTGGTTGAATACCCCCTGGGTTCAATCCATGATTGCCAAAAAAAAGAAAGAAAGAAAGAAAGAAATCTCTATTCACATCACAAATTTGTTTTGCTTACTCAGGCACACTCAGTATTTGGTTTAGAGAAGAAGCTGGATGGATCACAACAATTCCGTCCAGAATTACTCTGAGGAGAAATGGATGTATCATTTATCATCTGACCCTTGGCCCTCTATAATGCCAGGATATCAATCAAGATATTTTATGACAAGACAACTAGCTTGAGATTATCTAGTTCGGCAGTGATTCCCCACCCTGGCTGCATATCAGAATCTTTTTTTTTTTTTTTTGGCACTGGGTATTGAGCCCAAGGTGCTCCACCACTGAGCTACATCCATAGACCTTTCTATTCGGAGACAGAGTCTTGCTAAGTTGCTGAGGTTGGTCTCAAATTTGCAACCCTCCTGCCTCACCCTTGGGAGCAGCTGGGATTACAGGTGTGCACCCCATGCCTGAAACAGGAAGATTTTAAAGCCCAAGCTGCACAACAGACCAATTAAATGTGAATGTCTAGAAGGGGTCTCATCTAAGATAGAGAACCACTGGCCTAGGTTAACAGGTTTCTTAATAGAAAGCATAAGTTCAGTGTTCATCCAAGCCAGAGGGAGTTAAAAATCTATGGCTTCCTTCTAGACTCATGGATTTAATATGCTTCAATGAAACTACCTAGGTATTTCTCACTTTTTTTCCCCTAATTAATCCCTTTGTCCAGAATAGGCAGCAACATCAACAGTAAAGTACTGATTTAGGTTAAGTCTGCACCTTAAGTACGAATTATAGCAAAACATAAGGAGGCAAGCCTGGGACAAGACTCTGAGCACAATCAATCAAAAAGCCAGAGGGAAAATTTTTCCTAAGCAGGAATTAATTCCTGAGTCTAGCATGTTAGCATGGCTGTTAGGCTGAGAACTAGTCTACAGTTAGACAGAGCTGTGGGGAACAGATTCACATAGTTCGCCATCTCATCTCCTCAGGATTCATGCTGCGTTCCAGCAGGAATTACTCTATCCATTGTAACCCTTCTTTGGAAGTTTACATGTTCTCTACTCCCCACTTGCTTACCAGTAAATACTTATCTATTAGTGCCCTAAAGTGACCCCTAAAACATCTGAAATGGATCATGCTCTCATTTCCACTCCTAATAGAGAATCCCTGTTAGACAACACCACCAATCACACCACAGGAATGAAGAAGTGGAACACACTCGAGGATGACTGCTGAGGCCAGCCTTAACCCGTGGCAGTCGCAAGTGTTCAAGAGATAGGCAGGCTGACTGGACTCAGTGTGTTATGTGCTAATGCCCCAGACAGGAAATCAGTTGAATGCTACACTGGACTTTAATATTAGGTCTGCCTAAAGGCCTTTTATTACTAAAACCAAATCTCCATTCAGGTGAAGCCATCTTGTCTATTACAACAGTATCAGCAATAAAAACAAGACTTTCTCTTTGGAGTGATTAAAAGCAAAACAGCTCATCTGAAAACCTTTGTCATGCACACATCCATGTAAGATATTGGCAGAGACTCATTATCAGGGAAAGATGGTTAATATGCCAGTCCTGCCAAAATGGACCACAAATGGCAACGAAAAAAGAAAACTGGCACTCAAACAAATATTTCACCTCATTAGAAAGCACTGGGTGCATCCTTAAAAACAAATGGCGCCCACCTCCACAGGCTATCTTGGCAAGCAGAAGCCAGTGGATAGAAGAGTTAAGCCTCAGTGTCCCGACACTTTTCATTTCGGCAACACATAAAACATTAATATCTGCACATAATAAGAATTTCAGACACTGCAGCCTGTGTTCTGGGCCTGGTTATCCTTTGCTTGCTTCAGAAAGCACCACTCTTTCTTCAGCCAAGTGCTCAGAGGTAGAGGAGCTGAAGTGAGTTACGGAAGAGAAAGGGGGTGGACAGTAGCTGAGGGAATCCAGCTCCTGCCTAAGGGCAATCTTGAATGTGCTCAGTCTCTAGTGGGAGGTAGAATATTCTACACTGACTTATCTGCCTTCATTAAATACCTTTTTCTCACATGCGTACATAAACGCGAATACATACAGCTGGCAACTCAGCAATACTGCCATTCACAGCCACAGGAAGCCTACCCACAGCTACTTTCAACTAAATCTCATATCAATCCCCAGTCCTTCTCAGGTAGATGCAAGCCACGTTTATTTTTCCGAGGGCTTTAGTTTTGCCAGGGTTCTAGACATATATTTCCTTGTAACACCTACATCTTTTGTTTCTAAAGAACAGCTGCACTAAGTGGGTACATTGTGTCATAGTATCTTTATAAATAGAAAGTGCAAGAAATAATTTTCTTAGCCAAAATACAAAGTTAACAAAAATCTGTCACAGCCTACTATGCCAAGAATTTGATTTTTAGAATCAATAAGACAGCTAACAAAATGCTTCTATGCTACCAAGCTCATGGTGGATGAGTAAATATATTTATAAACATTTATGAAAAGTTATTAAGAAAATAGCTAAACTTCCCACAAAAGTTATTTGTGTGAACTATCTTTAGTATACCATTCTGTGTTCAATGCACATGCATATACATTTGGAATTATATTAGTGCTATTTTTCCTGGGCCAATTTTCCAAAAAGAAAACAGGCTAATTCTTAAAAAATTCAAGTTACATGATTTAAAATTATTTTTGTAAAAATATTAGAAATACCATATAAATTCTAAATATTTATGCTATCTGATAGCCATTCCAGGGGTGGATTTAGCCACACTTTTAGTAACCTCTGTTTTAGCACTTGGCTTCCAGAGGAAACATTTTAAGCTTTGTCCCTGCAAAACATTTCTGTTTCTGAGTGGTTCTTAACCACTAGAGTTCCTATGACTCTATAGAAAACTCGGTAGATCACCTTCAAATATGTCATCAATATCTGCTTCAAGAAGTGGCTAAAAGCACACATCTAAACCTTAAGCAATTTCTACTCACTTGAGTTGCTGTGATTGGCTTGAAATGGTTTAGACTTGTGATGCTGAAAAGAAAGAAAATAATGTCAATCTATAAGATTCCTTTTTTTTCTGATCTTGTTCTTTTTCATTTCAAGACCACAGAGCTTATTTCTCGTGCAACCACCCAGAGAACCTAGAGAGGGCCCAAAAGCTATTAACATAAAGATTTTCATTCCTTGGGACTGTTTTCAAAGGCTTTCTTTGTCACAAAGGGCAGATTTTGAGGTAAGTGGATTATGCCAGGGTGGAAATGAGGATCAAAAAGAGTTTTAAGACTGTTATTTTCACATATTAAAACGTTGCTCCAATCTTTTTTGTGTGTGTGTGGTGCTGGGGATTGAACTCAGGGCATTGTGCATGAGAGGCAGGCACTCTACCAATGGAGCTATATCCCCAGCCTCTGCCCCAATCTCAACATGATAAAATGTGATTAATCTTTATGCTTTAGAATAACCTTAATCATTTCCTCTCTGGTTATCCACTGCAAATGCCAAATGTCTTTTTCCCTTCCCAGCATTTTGTAGAGCCTGAAATTAAGTCTTTGGCCATGAGCACCTCTTTTATTTCCTGCAAAATTGCAATTCCTGAGGCCTGACTTTAGACAGAGATCTCTTTCTATTCGACAACTGGAGCTGGCCAGTAAGAAGTCTCTACAACTAATTCTCCAGGATCCACTGCCCAGGGAGTAGATAATCTCAAAACTTTTTTTTCTCTTCATGTTTTGCTTTGGGGATGAATGTTCACAGACTAAAATTCACTCTCTGCTCATATTTCTTCTCAAGGCAGGAATAGTCTCATTTTTTCCTAATTATTATTATGAGTCAGCAAGAGTTTAAATAAAGCATGCTAAATCTGATAAATGTAGCCCCAAATCAAAAACTTCAGTGATTTATTTAGAATGACAGAAGCTAGTAGCAACTGCTAATTTGTAAAGATTAATGAAATATAAAACAGGGCAATAGATTTTCCCGAATAAAAGGTAGTCAAGCACAAAATTATGCCAGAGGTGTGGAGGTATAGAAGAGACCAAGACAAACAGGTAAAACTTTTAGTATTGTAACAATACGATGCATCCAGTCACACAATAGAAACTCCTATTAAAAACAAATTAGTAGCCATATTTTTCCATACCATAGGAGTTTCCACCCATTTGTAGATGTAAAATTTGGCTGTCATTTCTAATAAACCAAATTCTCCAACAGTAAGCTTTTTACTCTGGAGTTTATTTGGATCAGCATTAATAGTTGTGGCTTCACAGCAAATACGGGCAAATGCTCACAACTTTGAATACAGCACAAAATGAAAAAAATGGAAATTTTGCTATAAATTAAACTTGGGAGGAGGTGAGCAACTAAGGAAATGTGCTCCAGGTGTTTGTCTCATTCTCCCTGTAGATCCTTTACTGACCAACAGTAGACAGAATAAATGGTTTCCATGTTACTAACAATTGATAGAAGAATTAAGAAAAAAACAACCTAATGCTACATGTAAGATATTAAAGGTTCCAAATCCCTGACTTGTATTTCATAAAATGGTAGGGTACTTCCTCTCACTTCAGATCTGAGCTGACCAGACTTCTCTGAAAATAGTAAGATGGTGACTCTTGACAGTTATGGACCTTTAAGAGGACTGGCACTTTCTACCCAGTATCTCAGAAGCCTGTGCTGCCACATTACATCTGAGTGCCTTCATGAAGAACATATAGAGAGTACCTGATATACAGTGAAAAGTGAGAAGCCCTGCTGGGTCCAACCTTGCAACTCTCCCTACAAAAGGTATCAAGCATATGAATGAGATCATCTTGGACCCTCCAGACCAGTCCAACATCTGCTGAATACCACCAAGTGAACTGAGGCATCACCATAGTGGCATTATCTTTTGAAGAGCTCTTGTAATCATTTACTCTTCAATTACAAATTCACAAAAACAAGTACCATATTGGCTACTGTATAATCCAGCTCATCCTAACTCATGAGCAAATGACACGAGTAGTGAAGATGGTCTGGTCTTTGGAATAAGACTGGTAAATACTGGCTCTGCAATTTACCAGTATGTAACCTTGGGCCTGTTGGGTTCCTCATTTATAAAATGTGGAATAATTTCACCTACTAGAGGTAACACAGACTATTAAGTGTCAGGTTAAGCTGTGTTGCTCAAGATATGCCTGTTTCTTTTCCTCTAAAATGAGGAAATGGGAGTGTTCTAAGTTTTGGATGCATTAAGCAAGGTAAAGCATACAGAACTAAGCACACAAGCATATAAAACAGTTGGCTATTTTTAATACTGTTATCACCTCATAGGATTACTGGACTGACTACAATTATGCCTCTAAAGCACTCAGTACAGATAATTCTGGACTTTTCTTTTTGAATATTATCTCTGTAGTGAAAAGTGCAGGCTTTTTAAAAGCATATATCCCAGACTCCAAAAGCAAGTTTAGGACTCTCAAGTCTGGGAAGTCACATTTAAACTATGTCTAAAGTCAACTTTGTTATACAAATTCCAGGCATGCTGCCTAGTCCCAAAGTACTTAATATTTATTTAATGGAACAGCTTCTCCTATATATTATCTATTATGGAAGACGCGTGATTTCAAATAGGAAACAGGGTCCTACAGATACTTTTAACTTCTGGCATTATGGATTAATTCAGATCCTAAGCTTCACAGTATATTAAATTGTGGGAGGCCATATGAGATGCTGAACACGAGATTCTCCTAACTGGATGGTGCATTCTAGCCTCTTCAACAGGACCTACTGAGTAGACATGAAGATAACAAGCATTTTTTTTTTTTTCATTAAGTGCTCTGACTTTCTAATAGCTTTGTTGTTTAAAGCTTCTGCTTTTTGAGCTAGTGGGTTTCCTTTCATTGGTTAGGATGGGAAGTATTTGTTACATAGGTAATGGGACAGACATAAGATAGGAAACTTATTTACATATGTACCCCCTATAAGATGTAGATTTCAAGTAACGTTTCTTAAGCAATGCTGTGTGTCACAGTTGAAGAAAGACAGTCTGCATAGACAATAAAACTGGATAATCTGTGCAGACATCTTTCAGGTTGGATATCATGGTCCCTATCAATAATTACTTTCTTTGGAATGTAACAAATTCAGATGTTTCAAAGTACTCATAATATTCAACTCCAGCTTGTCCTGAGCAAGAAAGCCTACTTACTTTATATGTAAAGAGACTGGCCCTTGGAAAAGCACCATTTGAAAACAAGAAGTCTATACAGCATGAGGTCCTGGGTTTGATCCCCAGCACCACTGCAAAACACAAAAAATAAAATAAAATTAACAAGTCTGAAGACAGGAAACAAAAAAGTAGGAAGCAAAGAAGGAAAAAGACTGCAAATTATCAAAAATCACAATGCTTAGCAAACTCCAATGCTTTCAGTTTCAATTTCTCTCACAAGTCCTACATCCCAGATTAATCAGAATTCCAGGTAAATCAGAAAATTAATACTCTCAAATACTAAGAAGCCATGATTACTATGGTATAAGTGCTCTAAGAGAAGGCAGATCTAATCTAGGCAAACATTCTGGAACTTTATGAGGATTACCTATTATTCAGAGAATATGTCATATTATTTGTTTGTTTGTTTTTTAAGACAGAGGAGAGAGAGAGAGAGAGAGAGAATTTTTTTTTTTTTAATACTTATTTTTTAGTTTTTGGCGGACCCAAACATCTTTCTTTGTATGTGGTGCTGAGGATCGAACCTGGGCCACACTCATGCCAGGCGAGCGCGCTACCGCTTGAGCCACATTCCCAGCCCAGAATATGTCATATTAAAATTTACAAATATCCAATTAGAAGAGGGCAACTTTAAGCATGAGGAGGTACCCTATAAGAGACACTTACCTACCTGAACTTTGCATATGCTGGTAGGACTCACAACAAAAAAATCAAACTCATGGGATTATTTCAGCATGGTCTGGAAAACTTTGTCCAAATAAAAACATTTAAATTCAGAAGCTCACATACTGCTTCCAAGAAGCAATTATATTTCCTCTTGCATGGATTTCTGTTTATTAACACCCTAACATTTTCCATTTTATCCCCATCTGATATAGGTAAGCTATCTTAACACTAAGAATGAAGATTCATAAAGCAAAAATGTAATGGTCCAATATAAGCTCAAAAGAATTACAGACAACAACACAGATAGGAATATAAGTCAAACAAGATTGTTTCACTATTTTAAAATATCCAGAAAAAGATAAAAACAAAAAGGGAGAAAAATTTGGCTTTTTACTACTCCACATAGGAATAGAGTAAGTTTACTTGAGGAAATTAAACTGAAGATTTATAAGAAGGAAAAGTTACAGGTTTCTAATCTAGGAAACTGTGCTTTGGATAAGAATCAAAATACCTATTCATTGGCTGGGTGTGGTGGCATGCCAATAATCCCAGTGACTCAGAAGGCTGAGGCAGGAGGATGGCAAGTTTGAGGCCAGCCTCAGCAACTTAGTGAAAGCCTGTTTAAAAACAACTTTTAAAAAGGGGTTGGGGATATATAGCTCAGTGGTAGAGCACTTGTTCAGCTTGTACAAGACCCCGAGTTCAGTCCCCAAAACTGCCGAGAGAGAGAGAGAGAGAGAGAGAGAGAGAGAGAGAGAGAGAGAGAGAAAGAGGGAGAGACAGAGAGGGAGAGAGGGGGTGAAAGGAGGGAGACAGAGAGAGAAAGAAAGAAATGGATGCTTAACATGACGGTATGAATATAAAACTTTGATCAAACTATTATAACAAATTTGGGGAGCAAATCTTCTAAATCTAATTCAGGAGATTGCAAATTTTTCTGTCAAAATTCTAGACAGTAAATATTTTCAAGCTTCGCTGTTCATGTACTCAACTTCATCATTACAGTAGAAAGAAACTGTAGACAATATCTAGGTGAACAGGTGTGGCCCTGTAATCATCTAACATGATTTTCTTTATACAGTAGGTGGCCTTAAGATTTGAGTCCAGGGCTATTGTTTGCTGAACCCTGACCATAAGCCCTAGGGATACTTTGCTAAGGGGTACGTTCTTAAAATTAGGAATCTACCTGAAAATTGCTTATTGTCCCTTTTCTAAATCTTAGCTAACAAATTAGTTCAATGGTTTATTAATTATTTTTTGTAGTATTGGGAATTGAACTCAGAGACACTCTACCATTAAGCTACCCCTAGACTTTTATTTTTTGATTTTGAGACAGGGTCTCACTAAATTGCCAAAGTTGGCCTTGAACTTGTGATCCTCCTGCCTCAGCTTTTCAAGTTGTTAGGATTATAAGCATGTACTATTGTACCCAGCTTATTTCAACATTTTAAACAGTTTCTCATATGGCATAAGTAAAGAACTGCACTTTTAAAGAGTAAGTTCAATAAAGACTCATCTGTCATTCTTTGAACAAATAAGGAGAAGAACAATTGAGAAGAGAAAAAAATCATGCCTGCTGTATCTGAAAAACGAACATCTAGGATTCTGACTCCTTTCTGATGCCTTTTCCACTGTGATTAAGACTCAATTGCATTTACTTTTCTTTCTCCATTTCTTTGAATTTGATCTTCTAGTCAAACAAAATGTAGTTTTCACCCATTAAAAGAAACATAATTAGTGTCATGTAACAGCTAAAACTTTGTAAAAGTCATTTCACAATCACAAATCACTCAGCTATAAGAAATGAAGCTCCAAATTTCACACTCCACCAGATAACTTCCAACCAAAGTCAGTCGTCAACTATGAAATGAGGAAACAACCTAGGTCTACTTTCATACCACCTTTGTAAAGTCCTGCTTCACTGATAGAGGGAACCTGAAACACGAGAAAGTGCCAAAACACAGGAAAATGTTAACTGCTATCTCTCTTCTTTTCCAATCTTGATCCTTTTCAAACTATTTTTTTTATACATTCACCCTTAGAATTAACTCTTTAGCGTAATAAATGGTGTGGGGTAGACTGCAAGTTACATAAAGTAAAATTCAACGCAGTTCAGAGGTAAATATGGTTTTGAGTAAAGAGAGAGAACAAGTCATTAGAAAGAGCCTTTCTGCCTAAGTACAGTGTCACCATCATGCCAATGCTACATTTTATACAGATATCAGAGTTCAGAGAGAATGAAAGGTACATCCTAAAATGAAAATAGGTTAATATGTTGCCATATGTCTTCTTCTGCAGAGAATACTGGATAGCTCCTTTGCTATTAAGTGCCACTCAATAAATGAAAACAGTCCCAGTGTTTGCAATCTCATGGCACTGGTACTTAATGATGAATTAGCTCTCACTGCTAATGCTGTTCTCTTCACAAGGTGACACGTGCAAGTTAAAGTTTGGTAACGAGTTTTCAGCATTAGCTAACGTCCATTTAGTATGTCCTTAAGAGGTATTGTCCATGCGCCCACCAATACAAGTATTCATTAATGTACATAGAACTTAAACTCCTATGACCCTAAGAGTGATGTTAGCTAAGAAATAGGACAGAAATCACAGTGAACCTGGATAAGAATCTTGGATAGATAATTAGAATAATATCTCTTCTAACTAAGCTAGGGAAATTGCTTTTAGAAGCTTCAATTTGTTTACAAGCTAGCCTGGCTTGAATTTTCAGGAATTTCATGGCTCTCGCAAGGCCTAAGGGGAGAGAACGAGCCAACCTGATTGTGCTAATGTGGTCCTAGATAACCAGGAAGTGCTCCATTCACAGTATCAACACAGTAAAAACCTGTAAGAGGAGAATGAAAAGGGAGGGGAACCCCGTAAAAGCACAGCATCTGCATACCACTTAGACCCTACTTAGGCAGGATGTTTTTTCTAACCCTGGATGGAGCACTGCCAGATGCTGCAGTTTCTTGTTACAGAAATTACTGCACTTCACCTTTACAATTTGGTAATAGTGTAAAAACTCTATTTTCTCATATATATTCTAAGAAATTAACAAAGCAATACAGAACTTTTCCACATACTATTTCTCAGAAGTAGGAGGGAACTTGAAAACTTTTTTGGTAGGCTTAAAAGCTCCATCTTCTGTCTTTCCCATCCCTGCCTATGCAGTAATGGCAAATTTTGTCACTGAAAGCCTCTTGACTGCTGAGACTTTTTCCTAAGGATGTGAGTCTAATCTCAACTCCATGTTTTCGATGCCACAGAGCACAGCCAATTCCTAATATTGCTCTATGGGACAGTTTTCACCCTAGCATGCTGTTGCCCAACAAGGGAGGAGAAGGACCCATTGGGTAACCTGAATGCCCGACATAACCTCAATGCTGCCCTTCAGGGTAGGCTCTTATCAAATGGCAGCAACATCACATTCCTCTAAAAGATGAATTTCTACACTTTTCCAGAAGAGAAAACCTTCCTCTAGTGAAAGAATGCAGCTGTATGCATACGTACAATTCTCAGATTGCTTAAAGCTACGCTTTGCATTCTAATTTATCACCAAAAAAAAAAAAAATCTTTTCTATCCACCTTTCCATGTACCACAAAATATCCTCAGGAAAGGAGCACGTGACTAACATTCTCACAAATGGCTCACCAGTGCAGGAATGACCAGCCTTCTCCCAAATCTCTTTCACAATCATCTATGTCTCTGCACAAAACAATTTGTTAAACCATTACATATTTAAATTTTTTTAAAAAAAATCAAGAGAAGTGAGAGATTTTTCTCTTGTTATTTGCACTGTGAGTTTTAAGCATTTCTTTGCCTACATCCCTTAATGTTCCAATATTTTCTCTTTTCTCTCTCCATGTAAATCAGGGCATCAAAAGCTCTACATGTTTGGTAAGTTCTTTATCTCAGTGCTGGATTAAGAATCTCAGAAAAACCCAGAATTACTAAAAAGGTCCCTTGAAGTTTTAAAAATCTTAGGAATGATTAAGTAACCAAACCTGATCAAAACTGATCCCTTGATCATTTATTGCAACATGATTGTGCATGATGTTTTCTGGTAAGTGCCCTGTGGTGCGTTATTAAAAATCAAAGTTCTTGGAGTCAGCAGCAATTTGCTGATGGTTGGTTTATGAATTTCTAGGTTTGCAGACTCGAGACATAGATTTAAATGAGGTTCTTCATTGGACTGAAAATATAAACTACTACATATGTAGAAGTAAATGAAATTGTGGTTGCAGTAAGAATAATAGTGCTAAATCTCTTCAACCACAATATTGCAGGAAAAATGTGTCTAAAACTTCATATAAAAGTTATCAAACGTGACGACCTGTGGATTTAAAAATACAACCCAGGCTCAATTCACTGGAAAGTGACATTTCTGATGTACAATATTGCTGTTATGTGAAACTAGGAGCCAAAGAGACTGGATGAAACTTTGGTAGTCAGCCTAACAGGTTAATTCATCTGAACTAGAGCCATTTCCTTAACACCAAAGGATTCATGAGCACTACGCTGTACAAATACCAGTCAGGAAGCTGCAGTTTGGCTCTGTGCTGTTCAACATTTGTAAAACATGGAAACACTTCCTTCCCTGCTCCTCTCTTCCTCAATACATCACTCAAGCCCCCAAGTGCAGCTATACCTATTGCAAACACTTTGCTACTCATTTTACTTCCAGGTGCCTAAAGTGCTTCAGGTGAGGCTGCCCACTAGAATACTGCTCCAAGATGGTTGACGACATGAGTCGATCAGGCAAAGTATCAGATGCCTAGTCAGGGCAAAGATAAAGTCTAACCTTGCAGAACAGTAAGAACCACCAGTATTCACTCTTTTTTTCTTGATGTGAAAATGCACATTCCGGCAGGGAAGGAAGAGGAGAGATTCTTCCTCCTCACCATCATGACTACCTCCTTCTCTCTCGTGGCTGGCTGCTTCAGATGGCCAAGACTCCTGTTGCATTTTTTAGATCCTGGCAATTACAGCCACCAAGATGTTATGGACCAAAGTACAGTGTTCAAACACAACTGGTAGATAAATGACCATTTATCATAGTTTTGCTAAAAAAAAATGTTTTTCTTATAAAGTTAACAAACCAAGGCTGTTGATCCCTGAATTAGAAAGTTGATTTGCTTGATTTTTTCCAAAGTGTGAGGAGGGAAGGAGGAGGGGAAGAGCCTTTAGTGCTTCTGTGTATATTGTTGATCCTCTAGTTTGGCAACATCTTGGGAGCATCTTCTGGTTTAATGAGGTGACATTTTGTGAATCTAAGTACCAGTCCATGGCCCTGATGCAGGCTGTTTATGGCCCAAAGGGGAAGAGGGTCTGCCCCCTCCCCCTCAATGTCTCAATCTGGCCCAGTGGTGGACACAGAGCCTTGGGCAGTTTCCCCAGGAGCAACTGTCTCTTCCCGGGAAGGTGACTCTTCTTCAGCTTGTCCTCGAGATGTGACAGTTGTTTCAGGAGAGATGCTGTGAGGCCCCTCCAGGGGTATACAGCCAGGGTGGTTTTTACGAAAGTGCTGATTCAAGATGGCCTGGAAGGGAAAACTTTTGCCACAGACATGACAATGAAAGGGCTTGTTGCCTGTGTGCTTGCGTATATGATACTCCAGCTGATCTTTCCGGGTATACTTCTTGCCACACATGCGGCAGACAAATGGTGTGATCCCCATATGTAGGCGCATATGGCGGTCTAGGCTCCCCTTTTGGTTGAAAGATTTTGCGCAGTAGATGCAGGTGAGACGGGGATTGTATCGGAACCACCGTTCAGATACTTCCTGTTCTCGGAGATACTCCACATAGCCACTTACTCCCATCATTGCTGATTCTTCTACCTGTTCCAGGAGAGGAAAATAAGCAAGAATAAACTAAGCATACATGTTAAAAGCAATCAAAATATTCTCTCTATATTTATATATGTATGTGTGTGTGTATATATTTTTTTAATGGCACTGGGGATTGAACCCAGGGTTTCATGTGTGCTAGGCAAGTGCTCTACCCTTGAGCTTCTTCCCTGGCTCTTTTCTTACATTTTACTTTTTGAGATAGGGTTTTGGTAAGTTATACAGGCTGTCCTCAGACTTGCCATCCTCCTGCCTTAATCTCCTAAGTAGCTGAGATTATAAACCTGCACCACCATACCCAGTTTTTGATTAACTGAAATATAAATTCAAACACCACATATGACAGCAGCCAATGGATACTGTGTCAGACAGTACAGAAGAGATAATGGCAAACATAATATAAATTATATTTATGACATCATTATTACCATACTTCAACCAGCAGCAGCTAACTTTATAAAAATGTATATAATTTATAGGTGATGATATGCCTTTCTACCCCGAAATATTCTGATACCATATCAATAGATTATCTTCATTCTAAAAACTCCTCAAACTGGGCATGGTGGTGCATGTCTGTAATCCAAGTTACCGAGGAGGCTGAGACAGTAGAATTACAAGTTGGAAGCCAGTCTTGATATCTTAGTGAGACCCTGTTTCAAAACAAAATAAAGAGGGATCATGATGTAGTTCAGTGGTAGAGCACCCCAGGGTTTAATCCTCATTACTGCAAAACAAAACAAAAAGAAAATAAAAAATTACTCAAAGTTTATCTGATTTCAGAGTGAGGTTTCTCCTATCTGAAAGCTGGGAGGGAGAAGGAATATATTCCTTTTGAGAATTACTTAAAATTTTAGATTTATAAATGCTTTTTGGTTCAAAAATTCTGTATTAAAATCTCACTACTCAGAAATTACTTACTGAGGGGCTATGGTTGTGGCTCAGTGGTAAAGTGCTTACCTAGCACTTCAGCACCACATAAAAATAAATAAATAAATAAACAAATAAATAAAGGTATTGTGTTTATCTACTACTAAAAAGAAAAGAAATTACCTACTGACTTTTTTAGCCTATGACTTCTAAGTTATTGTATTAAAAAAAATTAAAAAAAATATGTTGGAAGGAATGACATATGTATAGCAGAGGCTGAAGTACCAAGGAAAAAGAGGATAAAATGTCAAAGCTGACTCTGGATTAACTAGAGAAAGTCTACCTAGTTAGCAATTAATCTATCAATCTCAAGCTTTTTTTTTTTGGTAGATGGACACAATACGTTTATTTTATTTAATTTATTTTTATGTGGTGCTGAGGATTGAACTCTGTGCCTCACATGTCCTAGGCAAGTGCTCTCTACCTCTGAGCTACAGCTCCAGACCAACTCTCCTGAGTTTTTGTTTTGTCTCTTTCTTCATGTTAGCTGACAGTGCTTTTTTTATAAAGCATTTTGAACAGAGGCAGATTTGTTAAGAAACAGATTTGGGAAGCAGCATGTTAAATCAAGGGTTGAAGAGAAAGACTGAAGTTTATTTCTGATTCATTTTATATAACATTTCTTTCTGCTTTATTTCTCTAGATAATCAAAATGAAAATCACATAAAGAAGGATGAATTATCCCACTAAAAAGTCTTAGGTGATCAAGGACAAAGCACAGGATAACTTCCCTAAGCTAGTCCTCCCATTCACAAAATGAAAAGGCTATTTTAAGTGTTGCCAACTTTTAGGGATTCTCATGAGAATCAAACATAATAATACCCTAAAATATATTTTTAAATTTTGCTTATTTATTTTTTGGCAGGGTCTCACTATGTTGCCCCAGACTCAAGCAATGCTCCTCAGTTAGCTTCCTGCATAACTGGGACAATAGATGCTGGCCACCACACCCAGCTACTCTTAAATATCTTGAATGCATAATATTACATATAATTAAGGGTGCTGGAACATGGATTCAAATTCAAGTTCCATTTATTATTTCACCTTAAATAAGTTAAATTTAACTATTCTATTCCTCAGTTTGCTCATTTCCCAAATGAATATAATAATAACCATCTCCCTCACATGCTGCTTTGAGCACTGAATGGGTTTATACACTAATGTGCTTATTGTAACTATTAGTTATCATTAAATATTACATAAACATATATATGAAATAAAGTTTTTCCTGACCTGTTTCCTCCCTGCTCAGTGGCACCTGACCAACTTCAAATTCATATTATTTATTTATTTTTTGAAAGAATTTTTTTAAAAAATATTTATTTTCTAGTTCTTGGCAGACACAACATCTTTGTTTGTATGTGGTGCTGAGGATCAAACCTGGGCCACACGCATGCCAGGCAAGCGAGCTACCGCTTGAGCCACATCCCCAGCCCAAATTCATATTATTTATAATCTTGAGGGTGTGATTCCATAAATATCCTTCCTAACATTAAGAAGTATTGTCCACATGCAGAAGGTAATGTATTTTAGTAAATATGGATGAGCTATGATCACAAAAATCATTCATTATGATCAATCTCATTTAAAAGGCTACTGTAGTAAAGCTGCAATATTATTGTAAATGCTGTAATAGTGGTTTAAGCACGAACAAAAAAAGACAAGGCTAATTAGGGCACATAGAACTAGCAGATGAGCTCCACGAGGACCCAGGAAGAATGAGGGGTATCAGATACACAGTGAGAGAAATAATATGATGGGCTTGTGACACATGGAGAAAGTGATCTTTTGAGATGGACAGTGAATGCTGATGAGTGATGGGAAACATTGGGTTAAAAACATTATAAATTATGTAGAAAATTAGGTCAAGGTCAGGCATGGTGGCACATGTCTGTTATTACAGAGGCTCAAGAGGCTGAGGCATGAGGATCACAAGTTCAAAGCCAGCCTCAGCAACTTAGGAGGCCCTAAGCAACTCAGTGAGACCTGTCTCAAAACAAAATATTTAAAAAGGGCTGGGGATGTGGCTCTGCGGTCAAGTATCCCTGAGTTCAATCCCTGGTATTAAAAAAATAAATAAATAAATAAAAGGAAAATTAGGTCGAATATTTTTAACTTTCACATGGCAGAAAAAAGAAAAAGCTGCAGAAGGTTTCTGAATAAAGGAATGACTTCAGTAGTCTCTTATAGTTTATTCACCCTATAATCAAGAAGTGCTTCAAGTCTATCAAAATTTGTCCTCAATGCCAGATGCACTGGTGCATAACTCTAGCCCCAGCTCTCAGGAGGCTGAGGCAGGAAGAAGGATCACAAGTTTGAGGTCAGCCTGGCTGTCTTGGCAAGACCCTATTTTGAAATAAAAAATAAAAAGGCTGGGGACATAGCTCCATAGTAAAGTGCTCCTGGGTTGAATTCCCAGTACAAAAAAAAAAAAAAAAAAAAAAAGAAATAAAATAAAATGAGGTTCTTATAATGTAAATCCCTGCCCTGCTTTGGTCCTCTGCAGCAGGGTAAACTGCAGAGCAGAGTCAATACACTTTCATACGTGTTTAGGCATATATATCACCCCTTAATATCATCTCCAGACAGTACTGCTTATTTTCCATTCCTTAATAGCTTATACCTTTTGTTTCAGCCAGCTAAACAATTTGAGAATTCCAATTCTTATCCCTATCCTATCTACAAGAGTAAATTACTTCTTCCCAACTTCTTCAAAAACTGCATTTATAGCTGGGCAGGGTGGTAGTATGTGTCTATAGACCCATCTACTTGGGAGGCTGAGGCTGAAGGATTATCTAAATTCAGGAGTTTGATGCCAGCCTGGGCAACATAGTGAGACACCTCATTAAAGAAGAAGAAAAACAAAACAAAACAAAACAAAAGCCAGGTGTGGTGGCACACACCTGTAATCCTAGAGGCTCAGGAGGCTGAGGCAGGAGGATGGGAGGCTGAAGCAGGAGGATCATGCGTTCAAAGCTAGCCTCAGCAATCTCAAGGCACTAAGCAACTGAGTGAGACCCTATCTCTAAAATAGGGCTGGGGATGTCGCTCAGTGTTGAGTGTGCCTGAGTTCAATCCCTGGTACTGCCTCTGCCGCACCCTCTCCCCCTCAAAATAGAAAAAGAAAAACAGAATGAAACAAAAAACACGAAAACAAATAACAAAAACAAAGTTAATTCACTTTCCTTAAGTGGATACTGATTTTAATTACAGCCTGTTAAGTACATCTATTCCCATAAAAATGTTACTGAAGTCTATATACATCATATGTGTGTGTGTGTATGTATGTATACATACATATATATATATATATATATATATATATAATTTTTTTTAAATTCACTGGTCTGTCTTATCTCTGCCCTCATTAACCTTCTAAGATTATCTCATTACTGTATTTATATGTTTAACCAGTTATCTTTGCATGGTTATCATACCATATTTGACAGATGAAAAAAAGGGCCCCAATTATGAGAATAAACTACTTTTCCTCCAAGCTCCTGACATTTTCTCTAAAATCTTATAAAAAAAAAAAAATCACAATTTGTAACAATGTCTGTTACTACTTTACCGTGTATACCATAAACATCCAGTGGTTTAGCTAACAAGATACAAGTATAATGTAGAGGTTAAAAAAATTATCCATGCAATCTTAATCTTAATCTATTAGTGCTTTTTCTTTTTCAAATTTATTTTTTAGGTGTAATTGGACACAATGCCTTTATTTTATTTATTTATTTTTATGTGGCACTGAGGCTCGAAACCAGGCTCCGAGTGCTTTCTTTTAAAAGGCAAAAGTATCTAATTTACTGTGTTCTACTTGGTGAGTTACCACTTTCTAAAAGCTCAATCTTCAATTATAGAAATTCTTGAGAAAAAACAAAATTAATTGATTAACTTCTTATACTAGTTGCTAAAGAAAAGAGAAGATATTCCTGTTCTTTTTAGAACACTGTAGTCTAATAAAAGATGCAGGAAGCTGGGTACAGTGGTGCACACCTGTAATCCCAGCAACTCGGAGGCTGAGGCAGGAGAATTGCAAGTTCGAGGCCAGTCTTGGCAACTTAGCGAGACCCTCAGCAACACAGTGAGATCCTGTCTCAAAACAGAAAATAAAAAGGGCTGGGACATAGCTCATTGCTAAAGTATCCCTAGGTTCAATCCTTAATACAAAGTTTAAAAAAAAAAATTCAGGAAGAGAATAAATAAAAAAAATACATGCATACAAAACAGCACACATCTGAATTGTATAAGCAATCTGTTTATACATACATACCATTATAAATTAGTTACTGTGCTTGGTGTCATACTCTCACACATACAAAATCATACACTTTCTCTTCTGGGGCCTAAATTACCTGCATGTAGTTTTCAGCAGTTAATTTTACTGTCAGGAATAGAGAATGGCCCCTACAATCAGGAAAGAGTATCACAATCTTGTTATTTTTTTATTTTTTTTTTCTACTTCCCAAACAATATTGATGCCAAAAATGTATTTCTGGCAAGCTCATAAACAAGAATAAAGTAATCAAATATTTCTTCAGCAAGGCCACTATATCTTTCCTTTCATTCATTAAATTCTGTTCAGTCAGTTGGTAATTCCTCCAGTTATACAGCAGCTGTAAGCCCACAACAACATACCTGGGAGCTTGGCTGCTTGGGCTCATCCACTCTCCCAGGAGACTCACTTCGGGCTCTGTGTCTCTCAGCCAAGGGGACAACACTGCCGGAGGGGCTGAATCTGTTGGAGAGGAGCATAAAGGTACTATAGAAAAGTAGTGGCTGAGGAAGGGACAACCAAGCAACTGATGACTGAAAAATACTTTCACAGTCAATATATAACCTGGTTTGAAATAAGGTAAAAAGGTCTGTCCTAGTAAATTTAAAAAAGTACAAAATGCATAGTAAATCCTATGAGCTGGTGAAACTATAGCTAAATATAAGCTTTCTACCCCTGCATAAGTACTGGAAAAGGGGTAAAAGAATAAATAAAAAATGGTTCTGTAACATTGGGTTTTTGGTTGTTTTTTCCCCTAGACCCCATTATAACCTGTTAAGTATTTCAGACTGTTGACATACATCATAGAAAATACAATCCTTGCATTTAAATTGATATTTTTGTTGAAGTTCTAACATAGGAAAATACAGTGCTAACATTGGGACCAATAAGTTGAATGTTCAAAAATATATATACATATATATTTTTAATATCTATTTTTTAGTTATAGATGGACATAATACCAGGGCCTCACATGTGCTAGGCAAGCATTCTACCACTGAGTTACTACCCCAGCCCTCGAGAATATTTTAACTATTAAAGGCACACTTAATAGTTAAGTACTTAAATCAAAACCACCTTAAGTAGATACAGTGTAGTATCTGAATGTGTGAAACAGTAGTGTCTCTAAAGATCAGCTATATGCCAAAGAAATGGTATCCTTAGTTTTCATCGCTCAATTTTAATTAATTAATTAATTAATTAAATTTTTGGCACCAGGGATTGAACCCAGTGGCATTTACCCACCGAGCCACATCCCCAGCCCATCTTTTTTTTTTTTTTTTCAATTTGAGACAGGGTCTTGCTAAGTTGCTGAGGCTGGCTTTGAACTTGTAATCCTCCTGCCCCACAGCCTTCTTAGTTGTTGGGGTTACAGATGTGCACCACCATGCCTGGCTAATTTTTATTTACTTTTAAGAGGAGAAAGAACAAATATTACAATATAAATTATTTCTTTGTTTCAATTGGCTTAGATTAAAATTAGTGCTATTTCCATCAAAGATAAATGTTCTAAAAAATTTGATGTATTAGGAAGACAGAAGTGAGGCACAGGGCACAGTACCACTGGTGAAAAAGGACAGTCTCAGGTCTGCAGTAGCAGCATTCATCTTTGACAGAGAACAGATAAGAGACCACCAAATGACAAATGAAAATAAGAATGAAGAATAACCAAAAAGCTTTTCTTTGGATTCAGTGTACTATGTTGACACTAATGTGAAACAAACAATCACTGATGATACCACACTTCTTCTAGTTTGTTAGGTGGGCGCAAAGAAAAGCATATAGTGCCACAAAGGAAAGTTTAACTCCCCAAGGCACATACCTGTGTGATAACCAAGGAAGGGCAATGCTGCCAGGTTCCCAACTGATGATCAGTTCCTTGCCGGGAATCCTGAGAAAGCCCTGGCAATGACTGATCCTAGTGTGGCTGCGGATGTTGATTCATGTAGGTGTCTAACTTTACCCTAGTTCTCACAGCATTGTGAATACATCATGACTAGGAGCTTCCTGCTTTTAAAAAAATAAGGATACAGGTCTTTTGGACACCTCAAATCCCCAACATCAACTTATTCTGGCTAAGTACATGTGGTAAACATGTCTGTACCACACAGAGGACCCTCTTAGTGATGTCTACAAGAGCCATTAGAAGGGAAAAAAACTCAGAACTTACCTGTCAACTTCACTGCTTGTTGGCCGAGCCACCTTGGCTCCTGAAGACCCTAAGGTGTAACTCTCCTGTCCTACAGAACCATGGCCTGTGGTGTCAATTACCATGGCTGTGACTTCCTCTGCACTACTCCCATCTTCTCCAGAAGGCTGATTCTCAGGCCCAAGCCACTCCTCGAGATTTTCAGTTTTGATGTGCACTGCTCCAAGAACCCTAACTTCATCATCACTCCGGCCACCCCGGTCTGCTACTCCTGTCTCCACATACCACTGTCCTGCTCGGTTGATTCGAAGAATGGGCTCCCGGCTTTCTACATCAGAACTCTGTTCAATTATCTGAGGGCTGGTGGACTCCTCAGGGGGACTTAGCTCTCTGATATCTAGCACAGCACTGACCTGCCCTCGCCGGTTTCCCTTTGGGGTATTATGTCGTGGGCTAAGGGAGCGGTTTAGATTTGGTGTAACCCTGTGAGACTCAGGAGGCCTATCTTGATGCTTTGTCCTTGTTTGACTTAATTCTGCTTCAACCTCAGCCACATTAATTTTGAAATGAATACCCTCTAGGATCTGTGTACATTTGTCTATAATATGCTGCATTTGCAGAAAACTGGCAGCTGTTAGGTAGCTGATGATATCTGCCAGCTGCAGGCATATCCGCCCCGTGTAACAGAAAGAAAGAAGCTGTTCAAAAACAGTAGGGTTCTTGATGACTGAAATGGAGACAGTACTCATTTCATTCAAGGACATATGATCCCGGAAATAGGGGGAGCTGGCCGCCAGTACCACTTTATGAGCCCGAAAAGCTTGTCCTTGCACATTGACCACAATATCACAGAGACGGCCCTGCATGCGCAGTTGATTTAGATGGCTGAGGACTGAGTTGCTGAAGTCAGGGATCTCCAATTGTATGTTCCCACCTTTCTCCATGGTCGTGCCTGAAGGTGCAGGCAGGCATTCAACCCTGCTGAAAGAAACCATGTTCTCATTAATCATAATTTTATTACCCTGATGCTTTTTAGTTCAAACATACTTAAAAATATCATTTGGTAAAATCTCCAAGTACAAAGAGATACCTGATGTTGAGATATGGAAATCATATTACCTACAGGTTTTTTAGTCTGTTTCACAGCAAGATAGTTAACATCAAAAAAGCAATCTTTAGACTCCTAAAAATTCAAACTATGATCATGCTTTCTTTATACAACAGCAAAACAGAAGTTTGACAAAAGGGAGGAGGGACGTTAATGGCAATGTATTTGCAGACTGAATATAAAATCCTATGACAACATTACAACTTTGAAGGAGGAAAGCTTTTTGAATAAATGTATCTACACACAGATAGATTGACTGGATATACCTCTTAAAGTTTTAAAACATGCTGCTTGAGTTATGCTTATTACTTTGTAAAGTGACTAATATCCCATATGAATGCAGGCCAATTTTTAAGTTTAGAAGTCAGAGCTCCCACAGTAAGCCTTTGGATATGGCACTCTGAGGCAAACCCTACATTAAGAAAAATTCTGCAGCTGTGTCAGGAATCAGATCAAAACACAGAGAACTTCAAAGTTCAGTTCTCAAAGTTAGGAAAGGTCATGAAATCTGCCACTATTCGAATTCGAGGTTGGGAATTTCAGAGTGGTGATGATACTTTGATCCTGAAATTTACTTCCCTAGAGCTGGTAACAATAGAACATTTACAAATACATTGAAAGAATGCGACTGCATCCAATTGTTTTTAATAGTTTATAGAGTACAGTTTGCAGAAATCCCATAAGGAAGACAATGCTTTAAGTCCAGTGCACCTCCACTTATCTAAAGTTTTATATTCATAGTTGCATATGCCTTGAAACTGCAGGAACTTATCCTAAGAAGCTCACAGCATTGCCCCGCATTGACAACACATTTAACAGTAAACAGGGAAGTGTACACACTGCTTTCAAGAACCAACTTTAGCCAATCTGACCTTTTTCCAAAGCGTTATTGTTTGTTTTGAAACTTTTAATCCAATAAGAGCCTCTGTCGATGCCATCATGAATTCAGATGTGTTTATTTTGGAGCCTACACCAGCGCCTTTTTTGTTTGCTCTTTCCGGCAATTCCCCAGTGAGGAGGAAGACCTGGAGTAAAGTCTTTCTCTACCGTCGGCACTGGAGGAGTGAGAGCTGAAAGAGGGAGAATCGGGATCGCCATGGGGTTGGCCACTCTGGAACTTGAGCGGCTTTCGTCTGCGTTAGGAAGCGTGGGGAAACGGAACTGGCTGAGGGGCGACATGTCACGGAGGAACGAGGAGCGGGCGCAAAGGTGAGGGCAGAGCACTGGGAAGGGGGCGGCGCCCCGGGCCCGGGTCCAGGCGGTGCGTCGCGGGCGGGGAGCGGCCGGAGGTGGGTGTGTGCATCTGGGTGTGTCCCGGCGGCCCGGGGGAGGGGGCCGCCCACCCGGGGTCTTGAGGGAGGGGCCCCGCGAGAGGGCGGGTCTGTGGCTCGGCCCGGCTCAGGGCCAAAGGGGCGGAAGGTCGCCGGTGCCGTGAGGGGCGGTGCGGGGAAGCGCCTGGGCGTCGCGGGAGCGGGCTGCGGCGCAGACGGGCGGGGCGGCCACGGGGCAGGGCGGCGGGGCCGGGGAACGGGTCTCGAGCCCAGTAGAGGAGCAGCACCTACCTCCGGGGGTGGAAATGGGCCGGAATGGGCCGGAACACCGTCCCGGAAGTGAAACCCCCCGCCCCCTCCCCCGGAGCGGGCGACGTGCCGGAAGGAAATCGCTCACCCTTACACCGTCCCCCTCCCCCAGCGCTTTCCGTTCGCGCCCCCTCCCCTCTCAGCATTTCCTCCCGGGCGAGGAGGAGGGCGGATCCCAGCGTCACGTGAGCGGTCGTGTCCCCGCCCCAAATTACGATGTCGGGCGGGGCCTCGGGAGCGGGCGGGAGGTGGGGCTGGAGGAAGGGAGGTGGCTTAGAGAGGGTGCGGGGCGAAGCAGCGGCGGCGAGGGGCGGGGCGGGCGTTGTGACGTCACGAAGAAGAACGCTCTTATACTGGAGTTCGGGCGCCATATTGGTCTTTCTGTGCTGCGAGTCTGGTCGGGAGTAGGTAGGTTGCTGCTTTGCGGTGGTTGAAAGCGGTCAGCTCTTGGAACTCTTAGGCGTTTTGTCCTTCCCGAACGGGTTGCTTTGCTAGGCCTAAGGCGCGCATTTGCAGGCCTCTCTAGGCGGAGGGGGAGATGGCGTGTTGGGAGCCCGCGCGACCTAGATAGCGTTGGGATTTTGGGGCTTAAACTATGAGGAAGACCCGGCTCGAGTGCCCTGCCTGTGATGAAGCCTTAGTTGGTAGGGACATCTGAAGAGTGTTGAAGAATGCCAACGGCTCTGAAGGCGGCCGGCGCCGAGTCGCCAGAGTAGGCCTTTGTTCCAGTAATGGCGCTCCCAGCCTGGAGCGGCTCGATCTGAGGGAAGGACAGAAGAGCCCACGTGGTTCTTTTAGGTGGCTGGATTCCGCAGTGCACCATTTTTGGTGCATAACAGTGTATTTCTTGCTTGCATATTCATATGTATTCACGATTTTATCAGTGGTTTTTAGTTGCATTGTTATTTCGCAACATGAAGTGCATCATTTACTTAAGCCTATGGTGGTATGAACTATCGGTATTAGATAGTAACAAATGTAAAATATTAACTTAAATGGAACGAAAGAATTTAAGGTCTAACGTATTAGAAATGGTATGGGGTAGGTATGTAATGTGGGTTATTTTGTGTGGACACTGGAAATTGAACCCAGGAGTCACATCTCCAAATGTTTTTCTGTTTAGAGACGCAGGGTGTCCCCTAAACTGTATCTACTTGCTTCAGCATTCCGAAGTAGCTGCAGTGTGGCCCCGGATGGCATCTTGCATGCAGGTAAGAATGAAATATTCATAGAGATAGCTTTTATATTAAGCCTATGATGGTGTAAAGAGTAGTGGACAGAAGGGATTTCTGAAAAATTTCATTCTGAGGCTTTAATATTTTGAACATGTAATCTGATTTTTAATTCACCAAAGGATGTTTCTCATTGTTTGTATTGTTTGTTTTCTAGTTACATGCCAAAGGAATGAATGCCAAGGTAAGATACTGAAATTTCCTCATAAGGGATTTAGATTAATTGCTTAATGTGCTACAATGATGACATTTATTTGCTACTCTTGACTGCAGGAATGACGATAGACTAAACCACCATTATTTTAACTGAGGCACACAAAATAGTTATTTGGGGACTGTAGAGATTGCACCTTGGTAACATGAAATTGTTTTTTCCCAGGTAAAAAAGAGCCTCTCCAGCAATGGACGCAAGGTTAGAAACATTTATATACTCATGCATTATTTAAAATTGAAAGTAGACAAAACAATCTTATTAGCATTTCCCCCTTTGTAGATGTGATCTGCTCTAATTCCTAAATCAAACTTCTGGGGGCAGGCGGAAGAGGCAGATACTGTGATGGTTGCATAGTTCAGCAGATTTAAGGCATGAAGAAATTTACCTTTTCTGATGTATCTGGGATTGTTGTTCATGGCTGTTAATCAGCATAAGCAATATGGCAATTAGCAACTTTAAGATCTAAAATTTTTTTATATATTTTTTTTTTAGGCACTAGATAGAAAACCAGAAGTAGAAATGGTGAGTAAAGCATTCCACTAAACATAGGTAGCTGGGCAAAAAAGATGGCGTTTTTGGATTGCATTTTTTTGTAGTAAGCACTCAAGCATGAGGGCTAAATTCATTAAATGCCAGTATCTTGCCTGTTACCATTTCTGTGAGGTCAGTGTGGCCTGGATGATGATAAGAAGATAACTGACTGAACGTGAAGTTTTTAATTAGCTCTAACTGATTTCGGGCATTGTTGGTTTGGGCTGGGAGAAATTTCATATTTGGCTATTCTAAAGTCACCCTTATTCATTAGGTGGAGGATGATTTCTTTGGATCTGCTTTATTTTTCTAGTAAGTATTGGAAAGCATTACCTGAGAATGCCAATAAACTGCATGCCTGTTGCATAATTTAAAAGTGAATGAAAACTTGGCATATTTGAGCATGCTCCAAATGGGGTTTGTGTAATGATGTTGTTCAAATGTCTGACCTGAAATGAGCATGTAGACAAGTTTTATGCTGAAGAACCCAAGACATACAGTTTGAAGAGAATTGATGACATTTAGCATACTAACAAAGTTCCTCATACTTTCATTTGTAGTTCCTGGAAACACATTTTGATCTGGATAGCATGATTGGGTAAGACCACAAAAACAATTTTTTAGTTCCTGATGTCTTAGGTTTATAGTTTTGAAACATAATTTTACTAATGAATTGTTAAGTCTAAGGATTATTTCTTGTTAAACCAGTAGACCAGAAATAACTTTACTATATATAAAGTAGATTTAACAATTGAATAAGGGTTGCAAGTATTTGTAAATAAGGTAAATAACTGTTTTCAAAGTTAGTATGAAACTGTTGGGAAGAAGTTTCTAAAGCAATAACTTTACAGATTGGAGACCTGTTTTTTTTAATATTTTAAAGTTGTTGATGGACCTTTATTATGTGGTGCTGAGAATCGAACACAGTGCCTCATGCATGCCAGGCAAGCGTGCAACCACTGAGTCACAACCCCAGCCCTGAAACTATTTAAAGGTATGTATCATTTATCTTACATACTTATTGTGTAAGGTGCTGTTAATGATGACTTAAAGTTGAAACAGATGGGAATCTCTCTGACAGAGAATGAAGATTAACGTTAAACTGAAACAGTAGTTGGAAAATATTTAGAAATATCTTTGTTAAAAACCTATTGCTAAGTTAGACTAAATTCCTGCAGGTACACAGACTCAGCTTGGGAAGCAGTGGCAAGAAGTTTTAAGCAAAGGTACATCAGTCTCAAGATTTTAATTAAGGGGTGAACTAAGGCCTTGCATATACTAGGTGGGCACCTCAGGCCTCAAGCTGGATATAGACTAGATGTTCTCAAAGCCGATACAATGATGATAACATAGTTCAGCAGATTTTCACTGATGAGCAATCATGTCTTTCGCTCCTATCTGATGTATCTGGCTCAACAATCCAACTCATTCTGTTAAAAATGACCTTTTATTGTCCCCATACAAAATTTTTATGGACTTGGTACTACAATGACTGTTTCAGATCCTACCCTGTATTTTCCATTAATGCCAGGAGTGAAGCTGGACAAGGTGTGTCTATGATCCTCCTATCTACACTATCCTGAGGGATGACCATCTCATGAGCCCAGGAGATAGTGGCCAGGAGAAGCAATAATGAGAACTCTTGAATTCATGATTGGGGAGGTTAGTACCAAAACTTAGGATAATTTTATTACATACTCAAAATTACTTAGCTTAACTAAAACATAAATACTTTTTAAAAAATTACTTCACTTGCCCCAAATGAGTGCTTAGCTAGCTATTTTTTTAAAGATGAAAATATGCCACTAAAATGAAAGAGAGTAGGACCTTTACCATTTACTTTGGGATGCTGGGGATTGAACCCTGGGCTTCATGAAAGCTAATCTATGTTCTCCACCATAAAGTACGATAAATTTCAAGTGTATACTTGTTTTCTTTAACAGGTTTGCTGCATCCTGAGATCTAGGTATGTCAAGATTTAGTACATATATTACATATTTTAGTATGTAACCAGTGATGTAATGATTCTGCCAAATGAATGTAATGATATCACTTTCAAAACCGTTCCATTTTTGATTCTGAGGTTACTACACCTAAAAAGCATCCTGTAACATTTTTTTGCCATGATTAATATGGACTTTTCTGTTTTAGGGCTTTTGTGGCAGCTGCAGGGATATCACTTAACCTTTAGGTAAGTATTGAAACTATCAGCACTAATTACTATTCTGAATACATGATGATCTCACCCCAACTTGAACTCTCTCACTGATCACTTGATGACAGTAAAAAGATCTGATATTCTGTGTTCCCCAAGTACCATTTAAGTTGTAATCTGGAAATGTGGCTAAAAAGTGTTTTTTGTTGCAGGTAGCTGGATGGATGCTCTTTTGGGATAGAAGATTGAATATGTCATCACTTTAAGTTTCTGAAGAGATCTGAGTCTAGTTTTGGGCTGCGGGTTGAACCTATGAAGTATATTTCAAGCATGATGGGGAAGGGAATAAAGGTGCCTAATAAAAGTCACTAAGGAAAATTTTAGTGCTCTGTCATTTTGAGTTGAAATAGAGCCTGTACAAGTCATGAAGACTTCTTTATCAGTGTAGGCAATACACTGGTATTGGGTGTCTTAAAGGTTGTTTTCTGCTTGAAATGCCATATTTAATGCCAACAGAAATAAGATCTGCTCAGGATGAGCCATATATTTGAGGGATTCATTATGGGGCTGAAAGACTGGGTCAGTGCTTTTTAAAGTACCTGAAAGACAATAAAAATCTCAAGTCATGGAGAGAACTTAAGACTAAGGGAAATATCAAATTTGGATTATCACTGCTTGGTGAAACCTCCCAAAGAAAAATGTTTTTTGAGATTTACTCAAAGTAATATGTCAATGAAATACCTGTCAGCCGAATATTTTGGACAAGAGACATAAATGGTTATGTCAAAAGTGGTATACCCTGTAGGATGGATAACATTAGAGTTATTGGTACTTCTCAGTGGAGCATTTGCCTTATATTTTTTTGCCTAACTGCAAATCGGGAGTCAGTGTGGATTGCCAGTTAACTCCCTAAATTTCCTGAAGAAATCTATTAGCATTTCATAAGTTATTTTTGTCATAATGGGTGGCTACAAACTTGGTTGTGTGCTAAGCAGAATGGCCCTGTTTCTACCACATTCATCTTACAGGTTTTCAGGACAGTTTAAATTTATCCTTTCTCCATGGTGTAACTCAATACTTAAAAAAACAAACCCAATGTGTGACTGCATGGAACTGAGAAGCTTGGCCAAATGATAGGAATTTGCAAGGCATGTCTTGAGACTTGATCATTAGTCATAGAAATATGATACATACGATATGTATCTGCAGTTGCTCAGATGTCCCACCTAACATTTTTATAAAATGTTACAAGAAAAAGGTGAGGGGGCTGGGGCTCAGCAGTAGTGCCTTTGGGATGAGTGAGGCACTGGGTTTGCTCCTCTGCACCAGTCAACTAAAAATTAAGGTCCGATGTTTCCAACTCCATCCAATTATTTTCAATGTTGAGTAATGATCCATTGTGTGTATATATACCCCATTACCATCTGTTTAAGGGTATCTTGGTTGCTTCCAGTTTACCTACTATGAATTGAGTTGCTATAAACATTGATGGCTGTGATACTGTAGTGTGCTGATTTAAGTCTTTTGGGTATCTACCAAGGAGTAAGATAGTTGGGTCAAATGGTGGTTCCTTAGTTTCCTAAGGTATCTCCACTGCTTTCCAGACTGGTTGCACCAATAACTGCCATTCTGTTTTTTTTTCTTTAAAAGTTATCTTTTTTACTGATATTCAACAGAATTACCTTGTCAAATTGTCTTAATGGTTTCTAAATAGTTATACTCGATTTCTGTTTATCACATGCACAATAACAGACTACGCACTATGCTTTGCGGACAATGGGTGCAAATCATTCCTTTCTTTCTCATTGGTTCTCATCCCATTCACAGATGAGCTGTATGCCTGGGAGAACTTCTCTCATGTTTTTCTGTCCCTCTTGTTGGAGTTAATCCTACTAGACTTGCCTGCATAGTCAAGGCCATGCAAAAGTTAGTTGGGTCTTGAGGAGACCTACAGTATTATGTAAGAGTAGGCTTGGTCTTCTTGGATTCCTCTAAGTGGATCATATCTAAGATAGATGACTCTTTCTTGCTAGAGTTGATGGCTTGCTATCTATGATTCTGTAGATCACTCATTTTTTGGTAGCTCTTTTGTCTCCCACATCAGCCTGTCCATGGGCAGTCAGATTAGCAGTATGTGAGATGAAGCTGCAAATACTGTTTCCTGGGTCTAGAAACTTGCCCATCATCTATAGTGCTATCATAAGCATATGTAGCATTTTGTTCCTAGTGAACTCAGCTTTGTGAGGTAAGATCCATTGTGGATTCTTTACAAAGTGTCTAAGATGTTACTATGCTGCGATGATGTTTTCCTGTGCCATGTTTCTTGCCTACCTCAGCAAAACATGACGTCTAGCCAGGGCACCTAGTTTCTAGAAGAGGTGAGTACATCTGTCACTCCTGTTCTCTTGGATGACAAACAAGGTCAATGTTAGAGTATCTCTTGATTTGCATTTCTCCAATTGCTAGAGATGAACATTTTTTCATATATTTGTTGATCAAATGTGTATCTTCTGAGAAGTATCTATTCAGCTCCCTAGTCCATTTAAGTTGGAGAATGTCATGCTAAGCAAAGTAAGCCAGTCCCAAAAAAACAAAGGCTGAATGTCTGAAGTGGACAAAAGAAGTTAAATTCTCTTGGAGGCTGAGGAGACTGAATTTGAAATACTCTTGGTTCCCAGTCTATAGCTTATTATGCATTCCAAACTTATGCATTTATTTTTTTTAAAGAAAATGCTTAATTTCAAATATCACCTTACCACGATGATGTCTTAAATAGTAACATTTCCTTAGATTTCAGTAGTGGTTCCCCCCACCCCCCAAATGGTCTGAAGTTGAGTAATGCCCAAAGTGATTATTTCTGGTATGTCGGGGCAGGACTGTCTCCCAGAGACCTAGGGCCTTTGGTATTTGTATTCCAGAAAAGATCTGGATTGTGGGTCTCTTCTGTATACAGCTTGCTTCCAGGACAGTTTGGTGAGAATTAGGCATTGAACAGCAAATATATATGTATTTAGAAATTAGCCAACAACCTTAGATGATATTGATGGATGTAAAATTTTATTTCCTTATCCAATAAAGGGCATCTCTAGAAATTCTACTGACAAAGGGCAGGCAGAATTGGACACCTCACTAAGGGAACCCTGCCAGCAAGAACCAGCAAATGAGGGAGACACAAGCAAGGTTAAAAAAAAAAAAAAAAGTTTAGGGAAAAGCTCTAATAGTGAATCAATTTGCTGTTGTAGGGAAAAACATTCATAGCTTTTTTGTGTGTGTGTGAGAGGGAAGCTGTACTGGGAATTGAACCCAGTAGTACCACTTTACCAGTGAGCCACATCTCCAGCCATTTTTATTCATTTAAAATAAGGTTTATTTAAAATAAAGAGGTTCTTTGTTTAACTGCTGAGGCTAGCATGGAATTTGTGATCCTTCCTTGGCCTCCCAAGTCACTGGCATTATAGGTGCGTGTGTGCCATTGTGCCTAGCACTCCATAGCTTTCTAGGTGTCACAAGTTAACTGGGGTGGAGTCTTATTTTCTTAGTGTTATATTGCTTAGAGTGTTGAGAAAATAAGGACATAAAACTGATAGTATTTACAAATTATAAATCAAAGGAATTTTATCAAGGCAGAAGATCAAGTAGAATTTCAGTATTGAGATTAATCTCATTTTGCAATTATTAAATTTTTATTTTTATCAAAACAAAATCACATTATATATATATATATATACATACATATATATTTTGTTTTTAAAGAGAATTTTTTTATTATTTATTTTTTAGTTCTCGGCGGACACAACATCTTTGTATGTGGTGCTGAGGATCGAACCCGGGCCGCACGCACGCCAGGCGAGCGCGCTACCACTTGAGCCACATCCCCAGCCCCACATTTTTTATATTTGAAGTTGGTCTAAGGTCAGTATTTATAATAGAGGGAAAATATTCAAGGACTAATGATTATCCCTAAAAATTGAAAACAAAGAATACTGATTCATAAATCCTTTTTTCCTTCTGCAAGAGCCCTACTAAGTAATCAGGGCAAGTATTGTTTGCATTTTACATAAATAGGGAGGCTATAAAATTTGCTTAATGTGAAACACAGACTTCATGACTGATTTTGTGTGTGTGTACACGCATTATATTATGGTACTTAATATTATTGATGGTTGAAATGTCATCAGGGCTGGATGAACTGAAACCCTCCATCAAGTGGCAGTCTAGAGAGACAAGCATTTTTCTATATAATTTGATTTCCTGTTCTGAGTAAATCTACCATCTGAACATGAAAAACATGATTAGAAAACACTAAGCCACTATATTACTCCAATAAAGAGCCTTTTGTGGGGATGCGGTGGTAGGGCACCAGATATTAAACCCAGGGGCACTCAATCACTGACCCACTCCCCAGCCCTATTTTGTATTTTATTTACAGACAGGGTCTCACCGAGTTGCTTAGCATCTCGCTTTTGCTGAGGCTGGCTTGGAACTCGTGATCCTCCTGCCTTGTCTCCTGAACTGCTGGGATTACAGGTGTAAGCCACAATACCCCGCGAAAGAGCCATATATATATATTTTTAACTCCAAGTAAAAAGGAACTTACAAAAAAGTCCCAACCAAAAAAAAAAAAAAAGCATATTGTGAAATTTTGATACATTATTGTGAAGAATCCTTCCTGGGTTATATTCGCCTACAGACTTGTCATATGAGTGACACATCCAGATTTGATTTTAGCCTTGGTGAAGCAAAGAGGACAAAACTCAAGTTCAACTTTCTGGATGGTGTGAATGATTCAGTGAGCTCCTTTCTGCTTCTGAGTCTGCTGGCCAGGAGACCTGGATGTGATAGGGCTTCAGTTCCTGAGAGGAAACAGAATCTGGGGCGTTGCTCATGAGGTCATGTCCCCGGAAGGATTTTGGGAAGGCTATGACATCTCTGATGCTTGCAGCTCCAGTGATAAGGCACATCAGTCTGTCTAACCCTGTGAGTAGAATACAGTTAGCCAATGAGAAATACATAGTAATCAAATGTTGGGAATGTCTTAGTTTTTCTATAAAATTTGTAGAGAACTTTATTTTTGGTGATACTGGAGACCAAACCCAGGGCATCACATATGCTAGGCAAGCACTCTTAACACTGAACTACAATTCTATATATAACTTCTAAATAAAATCTAGGCTGCACCAACCATAGTATTCTGTTTTTACAGAACTGAACTGGACATGGTAGTGGTGTATGCCTGTAATCACAGTGGCTTTGGAGGCTGAGGAAGGAGGATTCCAAGTTTGAGGCCAGCCTGAGCAATTTAGCAAGATTCTGCCTCAAGGAAAGGAGGGAAAAAAAAGCTCCAGGTGTAGCTCTGTGGTAGAGTCTCCCTGGGTTCAATCCCCAGTACCATAAAAACCTTTCAAATGCAAAATTATGTCAAGTTTTAACTAGTAAAATATACTTTTAGGGCATGTGCTTTTAGCATGTGTGAAGTTCTGGTTTCAATCTCAAGTACCAAAAAATAAATACATACATAAAAATATATTACTGAAATTAAAACAAACTTACATTCTCATAGAACGCTTGACCTCAACTCCACCCGCCACTTATCATAGGCTAAAAACCCCAACTTGAGACAGTGCTATGGAATGAAATGTAGTTTATAAATGTACAAGTTATTTACCTAAGGCAATTCCTCCATGAGGGGGTGCCCCATAATCTAAAGCCTGGAGCAGATGGGACAGTAATTTCACATCTTCCTGAAATTCAAAAGATATTCCATTAAATATAAATACCGAAGGTTCACTAAGTACTGTGTTCAAGGCTTAGGTGCTAATGGGAAATAAAGTTGAGTTAACCTTAATGTGACTTAACTAAGTTATCATGAAAATTCATTAGCAGAGTTAAAACAAAAAAAAACTTTAAAGAGGTTTACAGTTTAGCAAGGGAACAAGACAAATCACAGACAACATGTAGAAAAGTGCCTGGTGCTTAGTAACTGCCACCACTACTGTTCTGCTAATTGGAACGGAATAAGACGGACCAAGGAAGGTGGAGGTGTAGGCTCAAAAGGGCAAGATGAGTAGCAGGCTGTGCTGTCACAGGGACCAAGAGAAAAGCATAAGTATCAAATGCTGCTGGGAGGCAGGAGAGGCTGAAGGCCAAGCACCGGAATAATTCTCCAGCCAGACTCTAGGGTAGGATCTAGTGAGGAACTTCAAAAAATGAGTACCAATCATTTTATTTATGTGGAGCCCAAGCATCAGGGATTTTTTTTTTTTTTTTAAACTGGAAAGGTGATTCAATTTTCTTTTTCTTTCAGTCCTAGGGATTGAACCCAGGTTCTTGCACATACCAGGTAAGCACTCTACCACTGAACCACACCCCCAGCCTTTAAAACAATGTCTCACTAAATTGGCCTAGAACTTGTGATCCTTCTGCCTCAGCCTCCCAAGTAGCAGGGATCATAGGCATGTGCCACCATGTCCAGCAGATGATTCTGTTCTAATGGGCAGTAGGAAAGGGCTAAGAACCACCAGAGGCAAAGAAGTGTATTCTTACTCTTCTGAAAAGCTTGAAAATGAAAGGAATGAAAAAGGTAGGCTGGAAACAGGTCTGGGAGCTTCGGGCAGAAAAGGGCACAGGTTTCACAATGCCCTTAAAATCAAAGAGCACCTGATGTTTTGAGTTTTCCAAACGGGCTCTCACATCCTACTTCATACCTGTTAGTCTCACAAAATTAGTTTTTAGGACCAGATTGATGGATGGTTTCCTTCATGAAACTTATCCTATCCTAGAGAAATCACTGAATTTTTAAATTCTCGACCTTTATTTTTCAACTTTTAAAATTCTGACCAAATCCCACTCTCTATATCACTAAAATATATCCCTACCTTTCATACAGCTCAAATATATCTATTAAAAGGCATAAAATCTCTTCATACTTTTCTCTCTCAACATTTTCAGTTACTGGAAATAACATTTTTTTGGGGGGGATGGTAATGGGGATTTAACTCAGGTGCCTCACCTCTGAGCTATATCCCCAGCCCATTTTAAAAAATTATTTTAGTTGTAGATGCATACAATACCTTTATTTTATATATTTATTTTTTTAAGTGGTGCTGAGGATCAAACCCAGTGCCTCACATATGCTAGGCAAGTGCTCTACCACTGAGCTATACCCCCAGGCCCCCCAGCTCATTTAAAAAATTTTTATTTTTAGACAGGGTCTTGCTAAATTGCGGAGGCTGGCCTTGAATTTGTGATCTACCTGCCTCAGCCTCCAGTCACTGGGATTAAAGACATGCACCACTGTGCCTGGCTTGGAAATGACTTTCGAGTAGTGTAGTGGTCAGCTAGTTGAGCTCAAGAGCCAGTCTTCAATTCCTGGCTCTACTTATCTTGTGCTGTGTGTGTGACTATAGGTCAGGTACTTCATCTGCCTCTTTCTCATCTCTGAAATTTCAAAGAATAAAGGTATCTATCTCATGAGATTACTATGAGGATTAAATGTATCAATGCATAGAAAGTATATAAACAGTTACTGGCATATAATAAGCACTAATGTTATCCTTATTTCACTTACATTTTTAAGTCCTACATTAAAGGTAGAGAGATAAGCTGAAACTATTTGTATCTAGCAAATAATCATGACGGATGTTTAACAAAACCAAGGGAAAAACAGTGAGGCCAGGTTAGATGGTATGTTACCTTCAGTAGTGTCGCCAGGATGTAATGCTGTAGCTCTGCATCGTGAATTCGGATGGAACCTCCTCCAATCTCACTGCCATTTAAAACCAAGTCATAGTGTTGGCTGCGAACCTAGATTCACAGAGCCTTTATATTAGGGAAAACTTCTAGCTTTCTGTTCTACAGATTAAAGATGCTATAGCTACTTAGACAATGTATTAACCACTGGCTCAATTTCTCCTGGGACTTCCAGAACTGGTCCTAGCTGTCTTTAGACTATGAACTTTGAAGTACTTTGTCTTTATTTACATATGTCCTTTTTATTTGGAAATACAGATATAGTACCTTTTCAGGTTCAGTGTACAGGAGGTGAATGTCACCAGGGTGGGGAGCAGTGAATGGGTGGTGGGCTGACTCCAGCTCCAAGGGATTGTCCTCCTTGGGAAGAAAGAGTGGGAAATCCACCACCCAAAGGAAGGAGAACAGGGCTGGGTCACGGAGCACCATACCATTCATTTCCAAAATGTCGGCACAAGCCAGACGTAACTTTCCCAACAGAGAGCACTGCAAACAAAAGATACAAACATTGAGTTAGCTTCTTAACAATAAGCAGCCCACCACCTGGGTTCTGAAGCACTATTCTCTAGGAAAAGAGCAGCCAACTAGAAAATGAGATGTTCTTTCTTAGGAGACAGAGACCTGAAGATGACTAGCAGTCTTAGCTAACTGGGTGGTGAGCACCTAGTAATCCAGTGATTAAGAACACAGACAGCAGAGCTTCAAAGACTTGGCTTGGAGCCTCAGTGTGGCTATTTAGGAACTCTTTTGTGCCCTTATCCACAGTAAAGTGGGGATGAATATATTTAATCCAAGACACTATTGTGATCTTATTAATTTATTCATGTAGTTGTAGATGGACAGAATACCTTTATTTTATTTTTATGTGGTGCTGAGGCTTAAACCCAGTATCTCATGCATGCTAGGCAAGCACTCTGCCACTGAGCTACAGCCCCAGCCCCTTATTTATTTTTGACATGGGATCTCACTATGTAGTCCAGGCTGGCTTTGAACTCCTGGGCTCAAAGGATCTTCCTGCCTAAGCCTCCTAAGTGGGTGGGATTAAAGGCAGCTGGGATTATAGGCATGTAATCCACCATGCCCAGCAAGTTTCCTTATATTAAAAATAATAACAATATCCATACTTCTCTCATGGGTTGGCATGGGCATTAAATGAATCAATATATACACAGTATTTAGATCAGTGGTAAACAGGAGGTACTTAATAAATGCTAACTATGGTGTGCAGAGTTTCCCTGAGAAGGCAGTTTATCAGAAAAGTGTCACATGCCTGGAGATGCCTAGAATGCCACTTTTTTCTTTTTTAATACTTTTTTAGTTTTGATGGACATTTTAAAAAAAATCTTTCTTTTTAAAATTTATTTATATGTGGTGCTAAGAATTGAACCCAGTGCCTCACACATGCCAGGCAAGTGCTCTACCACTGAGCTGCAAACCCAGCCCCTAGGAGGCCACTTTGAGATCCATTCTATTCCCACAGGACACCTTCATTCTGACATTTTTCAGAAAGTTAATGTTACTTCCCACAGTCTGGTGTCTTTCTTTCAAGAAAGGTCCAGCAAGAATTGTAGTCTACCTTCCTTAGAAAGAAACAGCAGAATGTTTGGTTCACACCAAATTAATTTGCAGCAGAATGTTATATAAAATTGCAATGTATTTTTTAAGAAATTCATTAATAATAAAATTTGTATTTAAATGGATTTCTTCACTCTGCTATTGCAGAAGGGAAAGATAATGAATTATATTGAGCTTTGAAGCTGAAAACAAACCTTTCCTTTGAAAGAAATAGTAAGGGAAATATAAATTACAGTGAAAAAAATTGAATTTATGTTTAACATTTACAATATATTTTCAATATTCATGTTTGATTTTTTAAAAATATTTTTAGTTGTTAATGGACCTTTATTTTATTCATTTATTTATATGTGGTGCTGAGAATTGAACCCAGGGCCTCACACATGCTAGGCAAGCACTTTACCACTGAGCCACAACCCCAGCCCCTCATGTTTGATTTTTATACTACGCTTTTGCCTATCTTTCAAAGATTCTTAAAGGTAAATTCAGCCTCCCACATATGCCCTGAAGAATGGTGATTTACACAATGCATGGTAGCACTCACCACCTACAACTACTGCTTTTGAGAAAAAAGGGTCCTGCCTTGACTAAGCGGGTCCAGGAGTGTCTTTCAGCCTGCAGCCCTCCAGCAGTCTGAGCCGTCCCGCCACACTCTTGGTAATGCACTATGTACAAAAGTCAGCAACTACCAAATTTCCTTCATCTGCAAACCTTAAAAATGAAAAGTGTTTCATGGTTATATAACTAAAACTATTGACCCTCTACTCAGGCAGATTTCCTAATCTGAGTCAGATCTAATTTGTGTGATGATGCCAATGGAGTCTGACAGCTAATGAAAAGACTCCAGTGTTCACATAGTGCATTAAGAAGTACTGAAAGACACATAACAGTGGATGCAGCTCCATCTCTGAAATTAACAAGTCATTTTAAATGTGCACATCCACAGGAGAAGAGAGGCAACATTTAGCATCCATTGCACAGATGCCTGCAGGTGACTTCTTACTGCTTTCTTGTGCTCTCCGGCAGTCAGGAGGACTACATCATCTTCTTGAATCTCCATTAGTCTAATTAATTCCAATCTTTGTTTCTCCAGTATGAATTTAGCAACTGGTGAATTCCAGTTTTCCTTGTTTTTTAGGAATACAGGTAAGACCTCCTGTGATAAAGAAAAAGAATCACTTACTTTGTGTGTGTGCATCTGTGGTACTGGGGACTGAACCCAGGCCCTTATGCATACTAGGCAAACCTCTGCCACTGAACTACATCCATAATCCTTACTCATATTTTTTAAAAAGTGAGATTGATTCATTTTCTCATAGTACAAAGATTTCTTGCTCCCAGTGGAATTTATATGAGATTATCACTATTCTCTTCCTTGAATCCCTTCAAAATGATAAAAAGGAATTTTATTTTTTGTGGTTTTGGGGACTAAACACAGGGGGCATGTTACCACAAGCTATATCTCTGGACTGTTTCATTTGAGAGTGTCTTGCTAAATTGCTGAGGCTAGCCTCCAACTTGTGATCTTGCCTCAGCCTTCTGAGTAGCTGGGACTACAGGCGTGCATCACTGAGCACTGCATAAAAGGAATTTAAAAAAATAATCTCACCACAATTAAAAAAAAATGGGAATGAAGCATAGGGAGTAATATTAGTAGATGAGAAATTTCTGATAGATTCCAAGCGAATGATATAGGGATGGTTAAGGAAGCAGGATGAAGAAGGCTCTGGCCTAGGAAAGAATGGAGGCAGCTTCAGCACAGGAAGGAACTGTTTTACCCAGCAGAATCCTGGAGAGGCTTAGGACTCATACACCTTGAGTCCCCAGGGTAACAGCCAAGTAACCTTGTTGCTCACCCTAAACCTATCCATTTACAAAGCCTTTCCTAGGACCCTGTATTTCCAACCAGCTTTTAGAAGGCCTTATATTTAAACATGCCCAATCACCACACATTGAAGAAATTCTTCAGCATTTTTAAAAAAATCATTAAAATCGGAATAAAATAGAATGAAAAGAGCTACTAGAAATACAAACATGAGGGCTGGGGATGTGGCTCAAGCGGTAGCGTGCTCGCCTGGCATGCGTGCGGCCCAGGTTCGAGCCTCAGCACCACATACAAACCAAGATGTTGTGTCCGCAGAAAACTAAAAAATAAATATTAAAAAATTCTCTCTCTCTCTTTTAAAAAAAAAAAAAAGAAATACAAACATGAAAAAAAGTTCAACAGAAGACTTGAGGAAATCTAGAAAACAGAATAAAAGGATGGAGAAAATGATAGGAAAGGACTTGGGGGGGGGGAAAGCAATATAAGCTATGTGAAAGGGTTCAACATACAACTCGGAGAAATGCTAGAGATAGATCAGAAAAAATGATGACATCAAAACAATAAGAGCTGGTCGGTGATAGAATTGGTGTGCAGCATGTGTAAGGCTCTGGATCAGTCCCCAGCCCTAGAAACAAAACAATCCAACAAAATAATTAAATAGTAAAAGAAATTTCCCCAGATGAAGACATGAGCTTTCATACTGAAAGGGCCCTTCAAGTGTACAATACTTGAATAAAAAAATGATCCAGGCTAGGTGCAGTGGCACATACCTGTAACCTGGCAGCTTGGGAGGCTGAGGCAGGAGGATCACAAATTCAAAGCCAGACTCAGCAATTCAGCAAGACTGTGTCTCAAAATAAAAAATAAAAAGGCCTGGGGATTTGGCTTAGTGGTTAAGTGCTCCTGGGTTTAATCCCTGGTATCAAAAAAAAAGTGATCCAAACTTGAAATTTTAGAACATCAAGATTTGGGAGGGGCTGGTGTTGCTCAGATTAGGGTACTTGCCTCACATGCATGATTCCCTGGGTTCAGTCCCCAACACTGACCCCCATCCCCGGAAAAAAGTTTTCAGGAGGCTGAAAACTTCCAAAGAGAAAAATAATCAAATAATCATGTCTGCTGTAAAGGAAAAAATCCATACAAACATTATACTTCTCATCAGTAACAGCAGATGGGAGAAGTAATAACCATGGCTATGTGGTATGGCTATTTAAATTTAATTAAAATAACAGCAGCACATGCCTGTAGTCCATTACTTGGGAGCTTACCCAAGAGGATCACTTGAGCCCATGAGTTTGAGACCATATGAACAGCCTAGGCACCATATTGAGATCCTGTTTTAAAGCAATCCTCCTCAAAAAAGAATTGGAGGGGTTGCGGCTGGGGCTCAGTGATAGAGCACTTGCCTGGCACACGTGAGGCACTGGGTTCGAGCCTCAGGACCACATAAAAATAAAGGGAGCTGGGGTTGTGGCTCAGCAGTAGAGCACTTACCTAGCACATGCGAGGCCTTTGGTTTGATCCTCAGCACCACATAAAAACAATTATTGCATCCAACTACAGCTAAAAAATAAATATTACAAACAAACAGGGCTGGGGTTGTGGCTCAGTGGTGGAGTGCTTGCCTAGCACGTGTGAGGCCCTGAGTTCGATCCTCAGCACCACATAGAAGTAAATAAAATAAATATTTAAAAAAAAAAATTGAGTGCTCTACCACTTGCTAAGTCATCCAAGCTGGCCTCAAACTTGCCAATCCTCCTGCCTCAGTCTCATGAGTAGCTGGGATAACAGGCTGTACTACCATCCCAGGCTTGCAAGAATGTTGATCTGGCTGAAGCAAAGGTATAGACTATAAAGAAACAGGAAATGAATGAGACTGTCTAAAAAGTGAAGTCTCATTTGACTGTTGTCAGGCTGGTCTCAAACACAAAATGTGTCTGTCGAAGTTGGATATAGAGTCTTAAAATAGGTATAGGAAGAACCCTGAATACTGGAAGTCATTCATGCTTGTAATGCTTTTTGTTAAACCTTGAGCATGTAGGGCTCTATTTATTTTCCAAATTGGATAAAAATACCTTTATTTAAATGGAATATGTTTGAGCTTTCATACTCTGATAAATGTTAATTCAATTAAATTGAAGTCTTAGAGTTATACCCAGGGGTAACATTAACTTTAAAGATAAATAGAAGAAAAGTCAAAGCGTGATCTGAAATAACAAGACCCTCAAAATTAATGATATCTTAAAAGCTCAAGCAATCAGTTAAAAATACTGAATTCCCAAAAGGAAGAAAACTGCTTTAATCAATTCCTTACCTCTTTAAAATGGTCAGCTGCAAATTTTCTAATGGACTCAATGTCTTTCTTTTTTAAGTAATTCTGATGAAAAATAAAGAAAACTCATTAATATGACACTCAGCTTCATAAACGTGTTTATAACATCAATGGAACACAAATATATTTGTTTTTTTTCATCACAATAGTGAGATTTAATACAAATTTAATTTCTGCTACTAAATTACAAATTTTCCTGCCATCCTTTGGGATGATCCTGTTCTCTAGGAAGACACAAACCAGAGCAGGAAGCGGTGAGGAAAACCAGGCCCCAGCTGCCTCACCTCCTTACCTACCTTAACCTCACCCAACCCCACCAAAGCCACTAGAACTCTAAATGACCAAAAATAATTTTTTTTTTTTTCTGTATGAGGAACTGAACTCAGGAGTGTTCTTCATCTGAACTACAGCCCAAGTGCTTTTTTTAAATCATTACTTTTTGAGTTGGGGCCTCACTAAGTTGCTGAGGCTGGCCTCAAACTTGTAATTCTCTTGCCTCGCTCTCCTGAGTAGCTGGGCTTACAGGTGTGTGCTACCTAAACAGGCTTCTAAATAACACTTTTTTTTTTTTTAAAGAATTTAACTCTTATTTATTGATTGATTGACTTTTCAATACGGTGTTGAGGATTGAACCCAGTGCCTCACATGTGCTAGGTAAGTGCTCTACCACTGAGCTACAACCCCAGCCCTAAATAACACATTTTTAAAACTTATTATAGGTCTTATTTTTCCCAATTATGCAGGTCTCATTGGAAAGAGCTGTGTCTGTATTCCCCAGAAGTCTTTAGATGTGGAATACAAAGGATAAATAAAATATAACTGAACTGTGAAAGAAAATATTTCAGATCCACAAAAGGATTCAGAATTTATTGAAGGTTTCTTAAAAATTCTTTATATCTTGCTTTTGATAAACTGGATTAAGTTTTTTTTAATGTTTTCTTCTTTTTTAAAAAAATATTTTTTAGTTGTTGATGGACCTTTATTTATTTGTATGTGGTGCTGAGAATTGAACCCTGTGCCTCACGCAATGCTAGGCAAGCGTGCTACCACTGAGCTACAACCCCAGCCCCTGGATTAAGTTTCTTAAAATTCTTTGCATCTAATTTCAAATTATCTTAATGTCTAAGTGAGACATTGGTCGTCCTCAGGTATTCTCATGGGGCATTTCATTAGTAACAGGAGATACAAAGAGGTGAAAAATAATATATATTCCTGTAGTCTACTAAGAGAAGAAAAGACACACGAGGCAAGCACTGTACCAACTTAGCTATATCCCCAGCCGAAAAGATACACTTGAAACAGGGTAAATAATACCAACAGGCAATAAGTTATCCTGGCATACCTGAACACACTTTTTATTTGGACTAGAGAGAGTATGGATACCAAATTACTTTCCACTGAACATAGGAAGTGAATATAGAGTAATAAGACAAGAGTTCTTTCCCCCATTCTAAATATACTATGTATCCAAACGAGCATAATCTTTCAAAATAGTAATCTGATTGAAGAAACTTCTGGAATGACTCATTACTTTCAAAGCAAGTATACTTATTACAGTACCAAATGTGTCCCTTCACTTTACAGTGAGTGCTTGCTCAGCCCAACCACTCTCCTTTCTCCTCTTACCTCCCTTTCTTTTTGCTTTTTTAGTGCCACCTCCTTTGCTTCCCCTATTGATGCCAGAATCTTCAGAACACCAAAAATCAACAGGCCAGGACTACGCTAGGTGCTAAGAGTCTTTGGATAAACCAACACTATGATTGAAATGCTAAATCCTATCCAGCATTTATGCTTATAAAGTATTGCCAATGAAATTATCCCAAATGAAGTACAATAGCAGTGTACAGCCGTGTTTAAAAGAAAGGAAAAAAAGAGGGTGGCCAAGATCTCGAATATAAACTCACATTCTTAAGGTTTATTGTTCTCTACTTAGAGTTTTAGGGACACTGCTAGATTTTGAAAAGTACATATTTTTATTTAAAGAGAATAGTTCTTCCTCAAGTTTAAATGTACCAATGTTAAACATATTTACTTCCAAAACATACACTATAGAAAAAACAGAACTATGCTTCACTTACTGCTCCTTCACGGACACACATGGCTTTGACAGCTCCTTGGGGCTTACTAAGTGCATCTTGAAGAAATCTGACCTCTGTGTGTTTGAACACATTACTGATATCGACAATCTGGTGAAAGGGCAACAAAAAGAGATAATTAAACATGAAGTCATTTTTATCTCAAAAACATTTTACAAATAAGATTTCAAAGAAGGGAATAGATCTTGATAAGTTAATATTTACATTCAAAGAGTGCTAAGCACTATGCTCATGGATTGAGCATTATAACTTGTATTTTACAAATATTTATTTCATTCATACAAGAGTACTAGGCTGACAGTCTATCTCCATTTCATAAATGAGTAAACTGGGGCACAGAAAAGAAAGTAAGTTGTCTAAGATGACAAAGCTAGTAAATGGCCAGGATGTAACCCAAGCAGTTGGACTTAAGACCCACTATTCCATATTACAAATGAAGATATGAGTAGTTAAGTTGGTAGCTATATGTACAGTTATGACTTTGTATGCATCCTATTTTTAAAAATATTTTTTAAGATGGACACAATATATTTGCTTTATTTTATTTATTTTTATGTGGTGCTGAGGATCGAACCCAGTGGCTCACATGTGCGAGGCAAGTACTCTACCACTGAGCTATAACCCCATCATCATATTTTTTTCATTCTAAAAACTGAGCACAGGGCTGGGGATGTGGCTCAAGCGGTAGCGTGCTCGCCTGGCATGCCTGCGGCCCGGGTTCAATCCTCAACACCACATACAAACAAAGATGTTGTGTCTGCCGAGAACTAAAAATAAATAAATATTTAAAAAATTTCTCTCTCTCTTAAAAAAACAAACAAACAAACAAAAAAAACTGAGCACAGATTTTATTGACTAGGCAGAATTCAATTTCTAAGAAATTTTTGTGAGAACTGAGGTTCAGAAATACCAGCAGCATTACAAAGTTCAAGGGCTACTGCTTTCTCAGAGCAAATAATGGAAAGCCTGGTAATGAAACTGCTCTATATAAATTCTACTCTTGTCCTTTCATACACACAGATATTAATAATCTGAATAAATGTCTTCAAGTGTTTGAGTTTTTTATTGACCAAGGAAAATGAAGAACTCTGGATCATTTGCCTTCCAAGTACCATGATGGCTTAAAAAATTGAAATAGAAAGCATACTTTTTTTTCTTTCAAGTTACTATTCATGTCCCTCTAATCAATAACTGGTAAGTACTGTAATAAAAACTTTATAGCAAGTATCTTGCTCTTGGAAATGGATCTTGGAACACATTAGATAGAAAAAAAGCAATTTAATGCTAACATGTTATTCTTTTTTGCTATAGTTCTGTAACAAGGTAACAAAAATATAACAGTGTGTAACATAAGTTTCATTAAAATGGTTTAAGAGACTGTGGAACTATTTGAGAGCAGGATTCTGGAAAACTGTGGAGAAATACCTTCATGCCAAAGCGAGTGTCAGGTTTATCAGTTCCGTAGGTGGCCAATGCCTCAGCAAAGGTCATGGAAGGAAAAGGAACTACCAAAGGGTCTTTGTCACTGGGCCAGGAATACTGGAGCAGACCCTCAATTAAACTCTGGATCCCAGTCTGGTCTACAAAAGACATTTCTATGTCAATCTGAAACCAAAATAACACAAGGAGACTAACTTGGAATAGTCACACACACTACATGTATATATACATTTCTCTGCTTTCAATTTACCACAGGATTCTGTACCAAAAATACTTACAATATATATAGAGAGTGTAAATATTATTGCATATCTTCTTTAGGTCAGGCACTATGCTAATGCCTTGTATTAACTTGCTTAGTTCCCACAACCATCTCATGGCTTAAGGCTCAGAGAAGCTGGGTAATTTGCCTGTGTACCCGGCATCAAGAAGTTGTGAAACTACATGTGATCCCAGGTTTGTCCAACTCCATAGCCTATGATTTTTTACACTTTATCATACTTATTAATATGCTATCATACAGAAATAAAATCATAATGGCTTTGATAAGTCCACAGATAAACAAATTAAATATCAATATACAGAATTACAAGTTTTTTTTTTTTAATTTATTTTTTAGTTTTAGTTGAACACAATACCTTTATTTTACTTATTTATTTTTATGTGGTGCTGAGGATCGAACCCAGGGCCTCACAGGTGCTAGGTGAGAGCTCTACTGCTGAGCTACATCCCCAGCCCTAGAATTATAAGATTTTATTATGCAAGAAATTTGCTTTAAGGACTTTCAAGTCAGTAACAATCAAACATTGATGACAACTCTGGCATTCCTCAGCTGATGACCATGCTCCTCATGAAAAGGACACATGAAATAGACCAAAATTTGGATAATGAGAGCCTCAACTGCAGGTGAATTTAACTACATATGTGCAGGATAATACTTAATGAGAAGTTAGGTATATAAAGTTACTTCCCTGGTGTTCATGTAACTTTGTACCTGAGTAAACTCGGGCTGCCTGTCTGGTCTTGAACCTTCATCTCGATAACATCGGGCAACCTGAAAGTATCTACAAGTGAAACAAAGCACCAACTGAGTCATGGGTTTAAGAACACACAAACTTATCACGAGGCAGATTGTGAGATAAATTAATAATGATACCTCAAAGACATAAGAAACTTTTTTTTTTTAAAATGATACTTTAATTGGATACACAGCTGATCCAAGAGAAGTTACTATTCTATATATTGTTTCTAAAATATTCTCTGGCCCCTTAGGACAGTAGTAATTAGAATGTCATGTAAACCATTGGATGCTTTTTTTCCTAGTCAGTGCTTCTCAGCATTTTACTTTTTTGCTCTAGCCAGACTGAGGTACTTCTGCTGTAGGAACACACTGTAGTTTCCTGTTCTATGCCATTGCATGTTCATCCCCACCCCTGCTGAAATGCAGCTCTCTGAGGGTGTGACTCAGGATGCTTTCAATGTAATTTCAAACCTCTTCATACTCAGTTTGTAAAGTTCTTTTTTATTCTTTGTGACAGGGCCTCACTGTTGCTCAGGCTGGTCTCAAGCTCATGGGCTCAAGTCATCTTCTGTCTCCCAAGTAGCTGTGACTACAGACTCACTCCACTGAACCTGGATCACAGTTTTCAAATTTCCATGCATTTATATTTTGGTTTATTTTACAGTTGGTTTTATTCATTGTTCTATTCTGCTTTGCTAGTCTTATTAACTCATGACAACAAAACCTTCTTTTTAACCTTGTCACATCTATCAGCATAGACCTTTGTACGTGGTAGATACCAAATAAACTTTTTTTCCCTTCAGTACTGGGGATTGAACCTAGGGGTGCTCTACCATTAAGCTACATCCCCAGTCCTTTTTGTTTCTTATTTTGAAATAGGATCTTGCTAAGTCGCCGAGGCTGGCCTGGAACTTGTGATTCTCCTGCCTTAGCTTTCATCACTGGGCCTAGCAATAAATTTTTACTAAATGAGGACTACTATGAAGTTTTCAGGGTATTTTATTAAGTATTTTTTGAATTCCTATAAATTTTACAACCTTAAGAGGCCAGACAATTTTTTTGAATTTTTTCCCTTTCTTTCATTTCTCCCTTTTCATTTTTTTTGACAACTTTTATAGCATAAAAAACTCACCTGTCTAAACCACCAACCATCAGAAGCTGCTTAAACTGTTGAGGACTCTGAGGGAGAGAATAAAACTTTCCAGGTTCCCGGGATGGTACTAGAAACTCTTTGGCACCCTTTTAAAGAGAGAGAGGGAAAGGGGAGACATTATTAAAAAAATAAACCCAAGGTATAACTGACTGATGGAAGTGTATACTTCAGCTCATCAATGAAATTAACTAAAGAGCAATGTTCCCCAGTGAACTTAGGTGCTGTGTCAATGTCCTTTGAAACGATGCTGATTTGGACACTGTGGCTAGAGACAAATGAGGTCAGGGGATATGGGACCAGCAAGCTTCTGAGGATCTCATCTGTGTGTCTGTTGTCTCAGCACCAATGCAGACAGTGGGTGCTGAGCAACAGAGAAGTGCTTCTGACTAAGATGGGGGTGGAGAAGAGCTTGGAGTATGATATACATTTCAGGAGAGTTGCTCCCAGCACAGAGAAGAGATGGTAAAGAGGGCGGTTAAACACACACACACACTTACACACTTAGAAATGTCTGTTTGGTTTAAAAAAAAAAAAAAAAAAAATTTTTTTTTGTACTGGGGATTGAACCCAGGGACAGTCTACCACTGAGCTACATCCCAGCCCTTTATTTTATTTCATTTTGAGACTGTGTCTTGCTAAGTGACTGAGGCTGACCTTGAACTTGTGATCTTCCTGCTTCAGCCTTCCAAGTCACTGGGATTATAGGCATGTGCCACCATGCCCGGCTGAAATGTCAGTTCTTTTTTTTTTTTTTTTTTTTTTGTAGTTGTAGATGTACAGAATACCTTTATTTTATTTGTTCATTTTTATGTAGTACTAAGGATTGAACCCATTGCCTCACATATGCTAGGCAAGCACTATGCCACTGAGCTACACCCCCAATCCCAGCCCCAAAATGTCAGTTCTTAATAAACAAGGGTTTTGTTTTTAAGGAACCAATTCATTAACGATTTACATCTATGAATTGCAAGGAAAAGAAATCTCCATGGAATAAAAGATTCTGACTCAAATTACTGACTCAATTTTCTCAATTCTTAAGAAAATCTAGTTAATGTGACCATCCTGTGGCAGTAAGTAAAACGAAATAAAAATAAAAGTGGACCAAGTGAATACAAAAGCAAAGTGGTCCAGTTTTACAACTAATAAGACATTATTAATAGAATGATTTCAGGAATATACATACCCCTGGGGTTCTCTTAAACAGTGTTGGGGTTTCTATATCCACAAACCCTAAAAAGAAAGAAATATCAGAATTTAGTAGATAGGAATTTTTCAAATATGATGTCTATACTACAGTCCAACAAATGAAAGGCTCTCCTTTAATTAATAACTTGGGCTGAAATAAGCTGCCAACCCTAGTTTTATTGGTTTTTATAAGTCCAAGAAGTAATCTGAAGCTTTTCAAAAGATTCTGTTTTTTTATAAAGCTGATACTTTTGATACAAAATAATCCTAAATACTTGATGGATTCTTGTTTACTAAATTATTCTGCTATTCAAAACGTTCTAAGCGTAGGGACAATAACACAAATAGTGCAGATTTTCCCCAGAACTAATCAAGGTATCTAGTTAAATTCACAAGCCATTTACAAGGTTCCAGCAAAAGTAAACAATAAACAAACAAAACATTAAGAAAACTTCTGCTGTAGAAACAGAAAAAGGGCTGTCCTGCCTTCAATAACAATGGGAAATGCTAGGTTAACCAATGTAACAGGTATTACTACCTTCAAAAGGAAGTATATGTGACCCAGTGAGCACCTAGTGACTAAATTATGCTCTAGGACAAACACCTGTAAAATAAATTTTCTTCAAAAACTACACATGGCGTCAGTTCCAAATTTCTCCCAATACCTGACCCATGACGGAAGGAGAGGATAAAATAAAACTGAATACAACCTAAGAGATGCTAAAAAGCCCCAAAGGATATTCAGGCTTTCCCTTACCATGGAGATTACAAAGGTACTCCCGCATTTTCATGACCACCTGGGACCTCAGTCGCAGATTGTACTGCATTTGGAAACTACGAAGGTCTAAGTAGCGATACTGCAAACGAAGAGCTTCCGTTTTCTAAAAAAATTTAAAGATTTTTATGTTTACTTTTTGAATTACAGGTGTTATCTTTAGCTCTGTCCTTAGCTTCTATCACCAGGAAGCCTACAGCCTGCTATCTGCACCATGTGTACACCTTGCCAGCCTCAGCTCCTACAACTTCTAAGTTTGTTACTAATACAGATTTTACATTTCTTACTATTCATGAGTATTAACATCACCCTTCACTGATTTGAAATTTACCTATTAAACATTAATCCATTCATTAAAGTCCATAATTGACTAGTGAAAATTCTAAAGATCTTTTAAAAAGACATATCAATCAGCAGGGTGGCATATGCCAGTGGCTTGGGAGGCTAAGGCAGGAGGATTGCAAGTTCAAAGTCAGCCTCAGCTGTTTCAAAATTAAAAATAAAAAGGGCTGGGAGTATGGCTCAGTGGTTAAGTGCCCTTGGGGTTCCATCCCTGCTGCAAAAACAAAACAAAATAAACACATCAAAAACTGCTGACTTAATTATTACCTGGAGGGGACCCTTGACTACAAGTGTAAGGAATGTAAAGGGATGGCAGGTGGAGCCTCCTCTGCTGTACTGGCAGAAATGGGTGAGGTGTGCTTATGTTCAAGGCTGAAAATCTGCATCCATCTTTGTGCTGAGTACTTTTTTTAAAGAATGTCATATCCCTCCAAAATAGCTCCTTTCTTAGATAATAGAAACAGAAATAGTAAGAAATACCTCTAAATTCACTTTCTAAATGCTTATCTTGAGAAATCTGTATATTTCTTTCTCACATTGAGGTCAACTCTGTAATTTTATTATTTTTTTTCTGAGTATTGAGAACTTATATTTATAAGACTAAGTGGCTACAGAATTAATTTAAATGTTCCTGAATAGATCACTTTAAAATGAGGTATATAGGACTGGATAGAACACTGGCATGGCATATTAGGCCCTGGGTTTAATCCCCAGCACTCTAGTAAAAAAGCCTGTAACAGTGACCCAGCTGAAAATCATCTGGATGTACTTACCCAGTGCTACCTAGCTCCGGTGATCCCTCAAACTTTGGCAAAGAACATCTTGAATTACAGTAATTCTATTTACATGTTTGGGCTTGAGAAGTCACTCTAACCATAATTTTATCACTCTTAGAGGCTTAAATTTAATAGGTGCAGGATTCCCCTACACCATTCAATGATTTCCAAGATAGATATAAATTTTCTTACAAAACATTAAACATTTTGGAGCAACAAAGAAATTAAATATAACACCTCTAGTCTTAAAGATAGACCCATATTTCAACCTGTCTGAAAAAAGTTTAGGTGTTTACAGACTGTAACAGCTTAATGAACTGCCGCTATTTAAGAACAATTTGTTGGTAAGATGTTTAATTTTGTAGAAGGTAAACTTTTTCTTTAAAAAGCTCTGAAAATTCTGGTCATCAAATAACAGAAGTTAGTACCTTCACAAAGTCTTTAATTTCAAAGGGCAGTTTCTTGCAGGAATTCAAAAGCTCAGCTGTTTTAACTTTGATTTCAATCTCACCTGTTGGCATTTTCTTAAAGACAGAGAGAAAAGACCTATTTTAAAATCTGCTGATCAGGACATGTACATGATGCACATTTACAAAACACACAACTTTATTCATAGATGTAAAATGTGTAGGTCCTTATTAGAGTGTATAGTATATACGTCTGTGCATGGCTTTGATGTTCTTGTGCCTACCCATGGATGATACTTTGTCTTAGCATGCATATTTATATAGATGTGTTTGTAATGAAGATGTTGAAATCTATAGGTTTATCGGTAGAACTTACTGAGCATTTAGTGCCTAACGGACAACAGGTCTATATTGCCTGAATGTGTATAAAGATATTGCCAATGCAAACAGGTAAAATTTACATAAACAGTTTCTAAACTACTAACTGCATTTTCCTGTCCTGGAGGTCGGGAAATGACTGTTCCGGACACTTGCACCACAGATTCCAGAGGGGCTTCACATAGAATCTTCTTTACAGAAGCAGCTGTCTACAGAGGAGGAAAACAGTTCCAAGAAACAAATGAACTTACAGGTGTCTGAAAGTTTATGGCTTAGAAAAATGTTAATATTCACAACTTACCTCCCATAATACTTCCCATAAGATGACTGTATTATAATACATTTGGCAAACTGCATCCTTATTTTGACTCCATGTAATATAGCAAGTAAAACTATCAGTTAAGAATTTTAAAAACTTTCTCAAAGGAAAATAAGAACAACTATTAGTAATGCAAACACCTCCCTCATACTTTGAAGACAACTGTCTCCAGGGTTAGTCTAAGGGGCAGTTACGTCCAATAGCGATAATGGACTATACGGTAGCTATGCTCACCTCCAAGTCCTCGTTCTCCAAATAGTTCACCGCTTCTATTTCACTTAGCTGAGTAAATCTTATTTTCCTTTGACATAGAAGCATTTGTAAAAATTACCACAACTAGGCACCCACAGTGCCCAATGGGCATGACGGCAGTTCTTTTATCTAATGTGAATGGTAAGTATTTAGAGCAGGTCTTCCCTTCGCTGGGCTCAAAATGCAAAAGGTATAGAAAGATAGAAAAGATAAAAGTTTCCATCTTATCCATGTCTTCAAGGACCTCAGTTCCCCTCCCCAGAAGCACCCAATGTTAGCAGATCCATTTCACAATGCGTATAAACATGCACACAGTGAGCACACATTCCATCTCTTACTATAGTTCATCTGGATAACAGCACTGTACATGTTCGTCTATATCCTGTTGTGGGTTTTTTGTTTGTTTTTTTCATTTAACAATATATCTTGGATTTTTTTCCCTATTGGTAAAGAGATTCATTCTTTTTCCATTCATTCTTTTTTTTTTTTCCTCCAGCGTTTGCTTTTTTTTTTTTTTTTAATATTTATTTATTTATTTATTTTTAGTTCTTGGCGGACACAACATTTTTGTTGGTATGTGGTGCTGAGGATCGAACCCAGGCCGCACGCATGCCAGGCGAGCGCGCTACCACTTGAGCCACATCCCCAGCCCCCATTCATTCTTTTTCTACATCTCACTGTAAAGATGCATATTATTTTTTAAACTAATATCTTATTGAGAGCATTGTAGTTCCCATTTTTTCTATTAAAAATAATCCTGAAATGAATATCATTTTATGTATGACATTTTGCATCTGTGTCTAGATGTAGGATAACTGTAATTTTCCAGAAGTGAAATGAATGGTTCAAAGTATATATGTAATTATAATCTTGATATTGCCAAATTGCTCTCCATACAGCTAGCGATGATATTGTACTCCTTCCAAGAATGTATGAGCACCTGCTTCCCCAAACACAGTGTGTTGTCAATCCAAAGTGTTAAAAACAATTCTGGGTAGTTTTAATTCACATTGCTCTACCTGTGAGTGAGGCTGGGTATACTTCATTTGTCTGCATGCCATTTATATTTTCTGTAAATTTTCTTTCTTTTCTTGTGGTGCTGGGAATGAAGCCCAATGCCTTGTGCATGCTAGGCAAGTGCTCTACCACTGAGCTGTATCCCCAGCCCACTGGTCTATTTTTTTTTTTTTAATTGATTTGTAGTACTCTTTAATTTTTATTTATTTTTTATTTTTTTGGTACTGGAGATCGAACTCAGGGACACTTAACCACTGAGCCATATCCCCAATCTTTTTTGTATTTTATTTAGAGATGGTCTCATTGAGTTGCTTAGTGCCTCCCTAAGTGGCTGAGGCTGGCTTTGAACTCTTGATCCTCCTGCCTCAGCCTCTCTAGCTGCTGGGTTTACAGGTGTGCGCCACCGTGCCTGGCTCTAATAGCCTTCTAGCTATTAGAGAAGCCATTTTCTGTAACATGAGTTGCACATATATATATATTTTTTCCAGTTTGGCATGTTAATGTTGCTTATGGTAGTTTTTAGTTTTTATTAACAATAAGCCCCTGAATTTAAAATCTCAAACACACTCATATCAAACTACTTAGCTTTCTGTAGCCACAGCATCAAAGAAGCTTTTAACAGTAGGACACTTTCTATTACCTCATCCTGGGGAATGACAACTTGAACAAGACCGTGGCAATCTCTTAGGACTAGGAAGATGTTTTGCCTGATTAATGAAAAATAAAATGAACATTTTAGGATAAAATCTCTAAGCCCAAAGTTTAATCAGAGTAAACAAGTTCAATAACAAAACAAAAACCCCAAGCAATTTATCATGTTCCTTTTTTATGAATAACTATGTACTTTCATTAGCTATATTTATGCAATTATTGTCTACATTGCTTATTAATGAAAACAAGTCATTTTTTAAAATTTCAATTTTATTGGTCACTTATATAGCCCACTACTCTTCTATAGATAGTTTATTAATGAAAAAGCAGATTTAAAATTAAAAGAACTTGTGCTGGGGTTGTGGCTCAGTGGTACAGAGCTTGCCTTGCGTGCGTGGGGGCACTGGGTTCGATCTTCAGTACCACACAAATAAATAAAATAAAGGTACTGTGTCCATCTACAACTAAAAATTAAAAAAAAAAATTAAAAGAACTTTTCATTGGCTTAAGTCTGCATAAGATAATTTTATGAAACGTGGAAACTTTTTATAAGGTGCAATTCAGACATAATATGGTATTAGAAATCATTTTTGAAATATAGCAATGTTAAGGTTTTTTTCCTTCCTAAAAAGGTATATGATCTGAAATTTCCTAGAAGAGTTCCAACTACTAATTTAACAATTCTACAAATCACCAAAAAATTCCCCAGATTTCAACCTTTTAACATTCAATCTACACTCCTCATCCTGTCTTTAGTATCTGAAAGAGGTACAGATTTTGGGTTCAGAAAACAAAAATCACCAAATTTACGGGGTAAATATCCACCCACTTGGGACATACACTTTATAAAAAAAAATATTTTATTTTTATTTTTTTAGTTGTACGTGAACACAATACCTTTATTTTTATTTGGTGCTGAAGATCGAACCCAATGCCTCACGCATGGTAGGCGAGCTCACTGAGCCACAACCCCAGGCCCTGGGACATATGCTTTTAAGGTCACACAGCCTATGTATTTTGAATCTCTTCACATATGGTCTGGAATACAGAGCTAAACAACAAAAAATAGGCTCTGATCTTAAGAAACCACTGTTGGTGCTTTTAGGTTTTTTTCCCTACCTAATATTAGGATGAAATAAGCTCTTTCCCCATGCTATTGAAGCTTCCCAGCTGTTTCCAGGATGTGGGCCCATTTCTAGTTTACTGGTCATAGGAACTCTTCCAATTTAGTTAGCCCAGGGCTATTTTTAGTCCATTCCAGGACCAAGCTTCATTTTTATTCTCTTCTGGTACTTACTAAGACTGACACCATTTGGATCTTTCAAAACAAAAATGAGAAATAAGAATTCAGTGAATTTTGAGAGTCCTGCAGGGGTTACAGAAAGCTTTTTATTCTCATGAATACTTAAAACTTTAGTAAAGGTTTGAAATTGCTTTCGGGAAACAATTACCATTCATTCAGGGGTTTCTTGGTGGTATTGGGAGATTTAACCCAGGGGTGCTCTACCACTGAGCTATACCTCAACCATTTTCTATTATGAGACAGGGTCTGCCACTGCTCCTTGGCCCACCATCCACTTATACTTCAATTTACCTTCGGTACTGAATCCATCCACACAAGGTGACTTCTTGGCCTAAGTGAGAAGAACGTAACTCTCCACACGTGTTGGTCCTGGCAACAAAGCTATTGAATTCTTGGAAAAAAAACAAATGTGTAAAAGGCAATATTAAAAATATATTACTTGCAGATTGCTTAAAAATATTCTCAATTCACAGATTCTTAAATATTTCAGGCAGAAATGTGTAAATTAGAGCATGTAGATTCATCCAGTATTAAATTTACCTGCCAATGTGTCAAAAGCCAAGTGAATAACTGTTTGAATGCAAATTTTTGCTTTGGGTTAGGAAACTTAGCTTTTTCTGGATCTAGCAGTTGCACTGACCTAAAATCCTAATTGCCCAATTCTAAATATTACACTTTTTTCCCGAAATGAAATATGATATTAGGAATTAAAGATGTTTGATGGTGCAGTAACAATATAGCTGTAGTATGAAACTAGTGTGTAATAGCCACTTGTACACTGGAAAAATATCAAAAATGTGAAAGGTTCTTTTTGGCTTCCTACTTGTAGTATCAACCAAACAGAATAGACTACAATGCGGTTACCTTTCTAGGGTCGTTAAAAAACAAAAGCAACAACAACAAAAAACAATGAAAAAAAAATGCATAATAAGGAATATAAAAAGGAAATGGTCTGCTTCTCCATACATACAGCTATCAAGACTGGGGGGAAATGGCTGCAAAGAACAGGCTCTTCCCTGTTTTTACCTGGAATTCTCCTCTGTGAACTCAGCGCCAGACTTCGGGAGAAAGAACCCCAGGTTGGCTGGGCTGTCCTTCCGATGGGTCTGGATAAACCCCTGCACAGCTGACTTAACCAGGAAAGGAAGTACATGCTGAGACCCCAGGACGGCGAGAGACGATCACAAATTCCACGCTGCAGGTGTTGGACGGTGCTCAAAACTCTGTTTTGGAAATGCACCTTAGTCCCTTAAAATTTTAGTTCCCACTCTTCTCCAACATTTAAGCCCTCCTCCGCTGAACATCCGGGTACGAGTGTCTAGCAACTACATAAATCTGCAAGGTTTGGAAGGCCCTTGGATGAGTGGATAGGGAAAAGCCCTCTCCCCGTCAGGGCATCACTTTCCACTTCTATCAATGCCGCTGCGCCGAGTGACCATAGGACCAGTGTGAAGCGCGACGCGGAAAGGCCTGTCACCAGGCGCACGCTTTCCTCCTCTTCTCCGCCAGAACGAAGGCTCCCACGGGCAGAACCGGAAAACAAGGAGGAAACAGCCTGCGTTCCAAATCTCCTAGACCTGGCAGCCGACCTAAGCCTTTCCGTAGGAAAAGGAAAGCAACCAAATCAAGAGCACTCCTAGGCCAGAAACCACGCAAGACCCGGGGAGTCAATGGTCCTTGTACCCGCCCAGCCAGCGCCCAGGATTAGAGGAAGGCATTCTACCAATCAGAAAGAAGTTTCCGCCGCCATGCCTACTACGGGCGGAAATAGGAGGGGAACGCTTCGCACCCGAGGAAAACCGAGAAGCAGCGCCGCGCAGTTGATAAAGACTAAGTCACCGGCCTTGACCTCAGTTAAAATGGCGACCTGGGTTACTTCACTGTCTTGAAATAGGAGGGGCGCCAGGGAGGCTTCCTGCGTGGGACCGCAGAGCGAGTCGGGAGATGATTTTAAACTGTGAAGGGCGCTGAGAGCCGAGCTGCCGCTTCTGGCCGTGGGCTTTCAGATCTGGCTTTACCCCAGGAGGGCTCGGGTGGAGAGCGAGTGGTCTCCTGTCTCTTGCCGACCCCCTCCGGCTAGGAGCGAGCGGCGGCCTCCTAGCTGGGCGCATTGGCGTTCGGGGGAGCTCGCTCGGGGAGCGCCGGCGGCACTCGGGCCTCTCCCTCAGCTGTCATTTTGGCGGCTTTTCACTTCAGGAGGTTTCAGCCTCGACCAAGTTCTGGAGCCGGATTGAAGAATGACTCGTGCACGCGGAATGGGTGACAGCGTCAGCACTGCACTTTATTGGTGAGCTGCTTTGTGTTGGTCCAGGACTGGCCGTGAACTTGGCTGTGGCCTGTGTCTTTAAGCACAGACGTGCTTTGCACTACGTGGTTGACACTCCGCCGCGCTCGGGCTTCGGAGCTGTTGGCCTTAGGGACTGGTGGGGTGTACCCAAGTGATTAAGCCCCTTTCTGCACGGACTACCTACAGGACAGACAACTCGGGGTGTCCTGGTTTGCTACCATGAATTTTAAATGGTACTTACAAATTATCATTTAAATGTAGTGATACTGCGTCCGGGCAATGGTGCGCACACCTGTAATCCCAGCTTTTCCGGAGGCAGAGGCCGGCCAGCTTCGGCAATTTAGCGAGACCAAAAAACAAACAACAACAACAACAACAACAACGGGGGTGTAGCGCGGTGGTAGAGATCCCTGGGTTCAATCCCTAGTACCGCAGAAATAAATAAAACTGTAAGTATAACCTCATTTGTGAAAAACTCTTTTAAAAGACTAACAGCACAGTAGTTGGGAGTAATTATAACTTTATTCCTTTCAGTGGAAATGGTATTTTCATGTTGGAGCTCTATGGAATACTTATGTTCGATTAAACCAATACTTGGTTAACAATTAAAGTGCACTTCAGCTTTGTATTAGGGCTGTCATGCAAGAGAATTATAAAGCACTATTTCAGTCAAAGCAGCTTAGACTTGCTGGGGGAACAAGAAATTCACACCAAGAAAATAAATGAACAGGGGCCAAAATGAGTGGTTCAGACTTGGTGAGGAGAGCTGTGTGGCTGCTGTATCTCCAAAGATTTTACAGAACATTCTTGAAGAATTTTGCTGGACTCCTTTGGAAATGAGATCTCTCTCTCTCCTTTGGAAATGAGATCTCTCTCTCTGTTTCTCTCTCTCTCTCTCTCTCTCTCTCTCTCTCTCTCTCACACACACACACACACACACACACACACACACACACCCACCCACCCACACCTTCCAGGAATGAGCCACAATACAGATAGAATCATATAATGTAGGCATTTCAGGGGCAAAAGATTTGGAAAAACCCTCTTGTTTGAATTTTCGAACAGGAATTTTTGCAAAAAAAAATTTTTTTTTTTCAAACAGAATTTGAAAGGAGGTCACATTCAAACATGGTCTTAAAGGAGGTGGAATAGGAAATGTGAATTCAGACAAGTGATATAGTTGATAGGCAGAAACATGAAGATTGAATATATTTATATCCTAGGTTGGAGAGGAGAAAAAGGAGAAGCTGAATTTGGACAGACTTAAATATCTGGCAGAGGAGTTTAGGATTTATATTGTCATGAGGTTTTTGCTCTGATAACTAACAATAGAGTGCCATTTCTGGAAAAATGTTTCACTCTTAGGGACTCTTGGTTGTGGTTATAAAAATATAGACCAGCTCATGGCTTTGGGAATGCATGACAAAGGCTGTTGAAGGAAGAATTTGATAGAATGTGCTGAATGACTACTTGTGAAAGAGTGGAGGTGGGGGACTGTAAGCATTTAAGTTCTCCTAGAAAATTGATAGGAATTTGAAAGTGGGCCAGTTAGCTTTTGGAAGGAAGGAGTTGAATTTAATTTTGAACATACTGTTTGTGGTATCTATAAAGTATTCATAAATATGGCTATAGCCAATGAGAAATGTAGCACTTCATGAAAAAGTTGAAGAAGGGGAAGGAAAGAAAGAATTATTTTATAGTGGGTAGAGGAATCTGTGGAACTGTGAATATGAGTTAATCTTTTAGTGTTTAGAATTCTGTCTTATTATTATTATTATTATTATTATTATTATTATTTTTATGTAGACCATGGATCCTTATGTTGCATCAGAATCAACACCTGAATTGACTCCTAGACAAAGTACATCCTCAGGTCTTAAAGATTACCTTATAGGTGCCACCCCTCTGCAAAAACGATTGGAGTCAGTTAGGAAGCAGACTTCATTTGTCCCAACCCCACCTCAAAGGAAAATTCCCCAGTGTTCACAATTGCAGGTATGCTTTGTGTTCTTTAAAAGAAAAGAAAAAATATATATATATATATATGTTGTAGATGGACACAATATCTTTATTTATTTTTATGTGGTCTGAGGATTGAACCAGTGCCTCACACATGCAAGGCAGGCGATCTACCATTGAACTACTGCCCCAGCCCATGTGGATTAATAAATAATTGAGACTATCTGAGCAAAACATTTCAATTTTTGTTATTGTTTATAATATCTTCTTAACCCTTCACTAATAAAATAAATGAGAAACAGTTAAATAATTTTATAGTATTAGCACTATATTCTTGTCTTTTATCTCCTTAATCTGGATCATTTCCACAGTATTTTTCTTTGTATTTTTTTATTTCTTTGTTGTATGATGTTAACATTTTTTTTTAAAGTACAATCTTTTCTCCCCTTTTTAAATAGAATACTGCTCATTTTGTATTTGTCTGATGTTTGCTTGTGATGAGAATGAAGTCATATTCTTTGTTGGAGCACTGCATAGGTGCTGTTGTGACCTTCATTGTAGCTGTTTTTATCAGGTTGATGCCTAGTATCTCTTGGGATAGGAGTCAAGTTTTGCATTTTTGTAACAACTTTCTTAAAGAAAAATTACTGATGCTGGTAATGAAAGTGATAGCTTTTAGCCAGAAAACAGAAATTTTATATGAAGATTGGAATGCCTTATTCTGTGCTTCTTTACCTTTATAATAATTTTGCCATATATTTTTATAACTATAAGAAAAAAGTGTAATTGTTTCAATAAATGTTCTATCCCGAACAAATATTTTTTTTCTCAAGTAAAGTTTTAAAAAATAGATGGAGCTGGAAAGCATGGACTTTTCTGGGGAAAACAGACAATAAAAATCAGACAGTATTTTATTGTCACTCAGTAATTAAGTGCTGTGAAGAAAAATAAAGCAGATATATAAAAATATATATCTATATCTTTATATAAAAAGATCTTTATATATCTTTTTATATAAAGAAATAGAGTGACACAGTTGGAGTGGGTATAGGTGCTACTTTAGTGGAGTAGCCTCTTGGGTGGCATATTGGGAAGAGATCAGAATGAAGTGAAGGAACATGCCATTCGAACTCCTGGGAAAGAGCATTCTAGAAGGGAATGTTCAGCGAAGTTTGAAGATCTATAAAAAATCTTGCAAACCCCACTTTAGTTTGATCTTTGGGAATGGAAAGATTTGGGCCTCAGTTATAGATTTGTATAAATACTTAAATCCTTTGATTCTTTCTTACTAATGTTTGTTAATTTTTAAACTTTTTTTTTCTTTTTTAGGAAGATATTGATTCTCAGAAGGTTGCTTTCCTCCTGCATAAACAATGGACTTTATATAGTGTAACTCCCTTATATAAATTCTCCTATAATAATCTTAAAGAGTATTCTAAACTTCTGAATGCATTTATTGCTGCTGAAAAGCAAAAAGGACTTGCTGTGGAAGTGGGAGAAGACTTCAACATTAAAGTGATTTTCTCTACTCTCCTGGGAATGAAAGGAACACAAAGGGACCCTGAAGCATTTCTTGTTCAAGTATAGTATATAAACAATTCTTGTTTCCTAGGGCAAAATGATCTACATTTTGTTTTTATTTTGTTCTTTTTAAAAATTTTGCAGTGCTGGGGATTGAACCCAGGGCCTTGCACATACTAGGCAAACTTTCTACCACTGAGCTACATCCCCAGCCATTTTTTAAAATTGTGAGACAGGGATTCACTAAGTTTCGCAGGCTGGCCTTAAACTTGTTATCCTCCTCTCTCAGCCTCCCAAGTAGTTCGAATTACTATGCACTACTATGGCCAGCAGCATTTTCTTGGTTTGGAAATAGTGGTATTTTCTTATTGTTTTTTAAGTTCCTAAGCTTGTGATTTTTTTAATGTATTTTATGTGTTATTTTACCAAAGTGTAATAATTAGATTATGGCCAATGTAAATTTTTTTGACATATATGTGTATGTGTAAAATTATGTTAATTTTATAAAACTTTGAAAATATGTAAAAGTACAAAGAAACTTAATGATCATAGTTAAGCTGGTGCATGCTTGTAATCCCAGCAACCTCAGGAGGCTGAAACAGGAGGATCATAAATTTGAGGTCAGCCTTAGCAACTTATTGAGACCCTGTCTCAAAATAAAAAAATGAAGAGGACTGGAGCTATAACCCAGTTGTAGAGTGCCCCTGGGTTCAATCCTTTGTACCAAAAAAGAAAAACTTTTTTTAAAACTCACAGTTAAAATTTATGGCATTTTTACCAATCAACATTGTAGATAATTATAGATTTTATATATATATATATATATACACACACACACACACACACACACACACACACACACATACACATACATACACACACACACGTATAATTCTCTGATTTTTATTAGGATTCAATTCCTAAAAGTAGAATTTTAGTAAAGTATGTAACATTCCATATAGTGATATATCATGCCATGTTACTCTTAGAAATGTAATATTTTAGAAAGGTAGCATATAATGGCCTGTGCCTGTAATCCCAGCAGCTCAGAAGGCTGAGGCAAGAGGATCACAAGTTCAAAGACAGCCTCATCAACTTAGTGAGGTCCTAAGCAACTTAGTGAGACCCTGTCTCAAAATGAAAAGGGCTGGGATGTGGCTCAGTGGTTAAGTACCCATGGGTTTAATCCCCACCACCCCCACCCCAAGTAAGGCTATCTTTTGATGAATTTAAAAAAAGACCACAGATTTATTTTGTTATTTGTAATAAAGTCTCTTCTGAATTTATTAATCTTAATCACTAATAAGAAAATGAAATCCTCAAGCAATTAACAAGACTGGATTTATTTTTTTATGTAAATCAAAGGTCAGCAAAGCATGGTCTGACCTGCTCTTTGTTTTGTAAATAAGGTTTTATTAGAATGTAGCTTCTTTCATATGCTATGTCTTATGTATGTGTGGCTACTTTGGGGCTGTGATAGCGGAGTTAAATAGTTGCAACAGAAAACACATGAACTGCAAAGCTTAAAATATTTATTATCTGTCCATTTACAGAAAAAGTTTGCTAACTCCTGGTATAGGTCATGGTATTGGCAAAGATCTCAAGGTGTTTGAGGGTTAGGTTCCATTGTTTGTAGCATAAATCCTGAGTTAACAGTGGATTAAAAATGATAGGCTCATTGTCTTCCTGAAAAGAAAGGGTAAATGAAGACAAACTGTCCAAGGCTGGCATGACGCTTGATGATGAGGTCATTAACAACCCAGACTCCTTTCATCTTTCTTCTCTACCATCTGTAGTGGATGACTTCCATTCTAAAGGTCACCTTATGGTCCAGGGTGGCTCCTGGAGCTATAAACATTATATTTAAGTTTCAGGCAGGGGGTAGAAGGAAGATGAGAGGGACAAAAGGAAACCCAGAAATGTGAATCTTGCTGAGATTCAGCAACTTCTGCTTACATCCTAGTTGGAAAGGAAGCTGGAAAATTTTTCTTTTTTAGTGGGCACTTTGCAACTTTAAGTAAAGGGACTATTTTATTGCAGAAGGAAAAATGGATACCAGGTAGTCAGCAGTCTGTGTCAAGTAAAATAGCTGATGTCAGAGACGTTTTGAGACTTGTATATCATAAAGATGTTCTCATGAGGATTAGAAATGATATAAATTCCTGGTACAGTGTTCTGATAGTTTTCAAAGTAAATTTCAGGGTTTTTATTTTTTTAATTTTATTAGTTGTAGATGGATACAATACCTTTATTTTATTTATTTATTTATTTATTTATTTATTTATTATTGGTTGTTCAAAACATTACAAAGCTCATGACATATCATCTTTCATACATTTGATTCAAGTGGGTTATGAACTCCCATTTTTACCCCAAATACAAGTTGCAGAATCACATCGGTTACACATCCACATTTTTACATAATGCCATATTAGTGACTGTTGTATTCTGCTACCTTTCCTATCCCCTACTATCCCCCCTCCCCTCCCATCTTCCCTCTCTATCCCATCTGCTGTTATTCAATTCTCTCCCTTGTTTTTTTTTTTTTTCCCCTTTCCCCTCACAAACTCTTATATGTAATTTTGTGTAACAATGAGGGTCTCCTTCCATTTCCATACAGTTTCCCTTCTCTCTCCCTTTCTCTCCCCCCACTCGTCTCTGTTTAATGTTAATCTTTTCCTCATGCTCTTCCTCCCTGTTATTTATTTTTTTAATGTGGTACTGAGGATTGAACCCAGTGCTTTGTACATGTTAGGCAAGCACTCTACCACTGAGCTACAACTCCAGTCCTGTAAATTTCATTTCTTGACAAGGTTATAGGACTCTTAAGTTATGAAAGTCTGATAAATATAGCATATCTGAGCTTCAAGGTATGCAAAAGTCTTTCATAATTTCTTAAATAAAAAGGAGGACTATGGTAAAAAGAAACTGCTCCAACGATCATCTCTAATGGCTGTGATCTTAACCTTGGCTTGGTCAATATTTAAACAAATCTTGAAGGTATTTATTATGTTACAAAGTTTGAGGGATTAGTCAGTAAGCTGGGAATATGATCAAGGTCCTCAACAATCTGAATGGATTGGTACAATGGGCTAAATTGAAAGAGCTTAAAATTTTAGTAGAAGTTTAGTTTATACCTCAGTCTAAGCTGGGGGAGATTTACCTATTTACAGCAAAATTGAATATGTAGGGCTAATTTTATAAAACTGTCTACTAAAAATCAGAAAACTGTAATCTAAGATTATACCAATAGAAGTATAATATAGATCAAAGATGATGATAGTCTTGTAATCAGATCTTTTTTGAAATAATCATGTTAACTTATGAATTACTCATGCATAAGAATTTCAGAAAAGAGTGTCCAGAATAGTAAAATAATGTGAGTCTATTTAGGAAAAATGGTTGAAGAAACTGGTTATGAGCCAGGCTTGGTGACTCATGCCTGTAATCCCAGCAACTTGGGAGGCTGAGGCAGAAGGATGTTTTGGACTAGCCTCAGCAACTTAGATCCTGCCTCAAAATAAAATTAAAAAGAGCTGGGGATGTTGCTCAGTGGTAAAGTGCCCCAGTTCCCCATTCCTGCACTACTCTCACAAAAGAAACTGTATATGTTGAACTTGGCAGTATATGTGGTAGGGATCATGAAATAGTTGAAGGGCTTTTCCTGTGGAGGAGAGAGTAAATTTTATTTATTTTACATGCGTATAAAGAAAGCAGGTCCATTTGGTGGAAACTACGGGGCTTGATGTATGGAATTGCATTTTAAGTTGATGGAAGGAGTTGCCTTAGAAAATGTTGGTATCTTCCCCAGTGGGAGAATTCAATATGTTGAATTTGGTGACCTTACAGTCCCTTCTAAAGTTGAGATTTTTTTTTTTTTCAAGATACTGTACCTAATTATTCTATGTAGGTATCTCCTTTTTTTGCATTTTCATTGCACCAAGATCTTGCCATATGACATACCTCTATAAAATATTAGAAGAAGAGTCAATTATTTTTATAAACCCTAATAATGACTAGCAACACTATTCCTTTTTTGTCTTTTGAACAATATGTCATTTTATTTCTAATGTGCTAATTAATTTTGGGAAGATGTAATTTAGGAGTAAATGTACTTTTGAACTTAATGAATTTGTTTTACTTTTACTTTCCCTTGTAGATTTTGTCAAAATCTCAAATGCCATCTGAGAACAGAGAAGGTAAAGTGTTATGGACTGGTTGGTTCTGCTGTGTATTTGGAGATAATCTCCTGGAGACTGTTTCACAAGATTTCACTTGTCTACCCTTATTCCTTGCAAATGGAGCAGAGTCTAATACAGCCATAATTGGAACTTGGTTTCAGAAGACTTTTGACTGTTATTTCAGTCCTTTAGCAATCAATGCATTTAATCTTTCCTGGATGGCTGCTATGTGGACTGCATGTCAAATGGACTGCTATATGGCTACTACTGAATTTCTTTGGTCTGTTCCCTGTAGTCCTCAAAGTCTGGACATTTCTTATGCAATTCATCCAGAGGATGCAAAAGCTCTGTGGGACAGTGTCCACAAAACACCTGGGGAGGTTACCCAGGAGGAAGTTGACTTATTTATGGACTGCCTTTATTCACATTTCCATAGGCATTTCAAAATTCATTTATCAGCCACAAGATTGGTTCGTGTTTCAACATCTGTAGCTTCTGCACATACTGATGGAAAAGTAAAGGTCAGTTTGAACAAATCTGATTAAGAAATTTTTTTCTTCTTATTGGCAGTTTTCAACATGCATGGTGACTTGATCATCACATTGAAGAAAAACATTTGAATGTATGCCAACTGAAGATAATAGAGATACTTTATTTTATGCTTTATAAATGATTTATCAAAGTCTTTAGCCTTGTTTTTGCAGCCCTATAATGGAAGAACATTATACGTGTATACTATAGACTTAGATGATAATTTAAATTATTATTCTGTAATAATATGAGTTATAATTCTTTCAAAATTGTTTCTTATCAAATTTTGAAATAATTATGAAAGTTATAGAAGATTTCATGTTAGAAAGAAATTTATAGCCAGAAACACAGAAAAAGGTATCATCTTTATATTTTAGGCTTTTCTATCCCCATTGGAAAGGACTAATAGACACATTGTTTTACTCTTTTGAAGTGCTTATTACAAGAAATATCAGAAATAGAGTTAGTCCAGGACTGGGGTTTGGCGCAGCGATAAAGCACTTGCCCAACACATTGGAGGCCCTGGGTTCGATCCTCAGCACCACATAAAAATACATAAATAAAGCTATCGTGTTCAACTACAAATAAAAGATAAATATTAAAAAAAAGAAAAAAAAAAGAAATAGAGTTAGTCCCTAAAGCATATTTGAAAATAGAGCTGTGTTATGCTCTCAGTGAACATTTCCTATGGTCTTGTTATTGTGTTAGGAGATTTTTTTGTTTCTTTTTTAAATTGATACATATTTATGGGAGTACAGTATGATAATTTATGACATATGTACAATGTTAGTGATCTGATCACAGTAATTAGCATTTCCATTCTCTTCATTTATCCTTTCTATGTGTGGGAACCTTCAGACTCTTCTAGTATTTTAAAATATATATTAAGTAGTTGTAGACTATAATTACCTCACTGTGCTACAGAACACCAAAATCAGTTCCTCCTATCTGATTATATTTTGGTACTATTATCTAATCTGTCCCCTCTTACCTCTACCCTTCCTAGCTTCTAGTGACCACTGTACTGTTTTTATATGAGGTGAACTTTTTTAGCTTCCACAAAATGGAAAGCTTATATTTGTCTAGAGGACCTTAATTGTGTGTATGTGTATATATGTTTTATTGGGGATTGAACCCAAGGTTACTCTGCTCCACTCCCAGCCCTTTTATTTTTTTATTTTTGAGATAGGGTCTTGCTAAGTTGCTCAGCGTGTGCCACCGTGCCTGGCTGGCCTTTAACATTTGCCTCAGCCTCCTGAGTAGTTGGGATTACAAGTGTTCACCACTGTGCCTCAGCTGGGTGTTTTTATCCACATTTTATTTTAAAACAAGAAAACAGGTCAAGGTAAGTTTAAGTGATACATGGAAGATAGCTTAGTAAGGCGAGAAGTCAAGATTTGTACTCTCTTAGGTTCCAGGAGCACAGTTTTCTATAAATTATCTTTTTCAGAATGGAAAGCTGGGAAATAATTTTAAGGAGAAGAGATCAGCATTAAAAAGGAAAGAAATAGAAGATATAAAAATGATAGTGTATTGAATGTGCCAAATTCAATGAACTAAATCCAGAAATTCGACCAGTGTAACACTGATCATTCAAATATCAAACTGCCCTGCTATAATATTATTCTAATTTTAAATTAATTTCTTTCTTTCTTTCTTTTTTTTTTTTTTTACAGATTCTGTGTCATAAATACCTTATTGGTGTGTTGGCATATTTGACAGAACTGGCAATTTTTCAAATTGAATGAGTGAACAATAAGTTATGGATCATATACTCTTTTCTCACTAATTATTTGGTTAGTTGCTACGCTGAAAGGGTCTGCAAGAGAGGTGGGTATGTATCTCTGCCTCTGCTTTCCTCACAGTAGCTTTGGAGTTGCCCAGATGAAAGCCAAGGAGGATTTAGAAGAACAAGGACTGTGGCACTGGATGAACCACAGCCACGCGCTTGTACTGGTCATGATGATCTCAGATGACAATGCCTAGGAGCAATGTTGTGTTGTTAATTTCTTGGTTATCTTTTTAAAAAATGTTTTTCATATCAAACTTTTAGAATTCAAATGTGATATCTAATATTGGGTATTTTTGATTTAGATTTTTAAAACCTTTAATCCCTTTGAAGCATTTTAGACTTGCAATCAAAGAATTTTCATCTTCTAAAGACATTTTGCTAGCATTGTTTTGCTGTAGAGAACTGGCCATCAAAATCCTCTCAAAAATTCTAGCTGGGTATGATGGCATATGCCTGTAATCCCAGCAGCTTGGGAGGCTGAGGCAGTTTCAAAGCCAGCTTTAGCAATTTAGTGAGGCCCTATCTCAAAATAAAAAATGAAAAGTGCTGGGGATGTGGCTCAGTGGTTAAACACCCCTGGGTTTAATCCCTGGTACCAAAAACAAAACAAAACAAAACAAAACAAAAAACCCTCTCAAAAGGAAAATAAAGATTAATAGACTTTTTTAAAGCCACTAATATGCTTCTGATTTTAATATTGTTCAATTCTTATAACAGTGTTAAATTAAATATTTACTTTTAAAATGAAGTAGTGTGTTTCTCAGTGTCTTTGTTTTTTTGTTGTGCGGCCCCGCAATATCTTGCAAAATTTTATGTGTGCATTTGTTTTAATTAACAGTTTTACTCCTAAGATTCTATCCTAAAATTTCACCTGCTAATAATAATAATAATGATGCAAAAGGAAGATTATTTATTACAACAGTATTTATAATAGCAACACTGAAACCAATTCAAATGCCCATCAGCTGGATCTGTTTGAATGAACTATAAGTGCCAACTCAATTATTATGATGCAACTATAAAAAAGTGAGGAAAATAATCTGCATGCTCTCATAGAGTGATCTCCAGGAATATTATATGTGAAAGAGTAAGATGTGATGTATGTAGTGTATGATATGCTACATTTTATGTAAGGGATGAGGGAAATATGAGTTTATACGTTTATTTCCTTATGTTTTCAAAAACCATTGGAAGAGCCAGCTGTGGTGGCACATGTCTGTGATCCCAGCAGGCAGAGGCAGCAGGGAGGCAGAGACAGGATCATAGTTTGAGGAAAACTTGGGCAATTTAGTGAGACCTTTTCTCAAAACAAAGAAATAAGGCCTGGGGATGTAACTCAGTGGTAGAGCATCCCTGAGTTCAATCCCTAGTATTGTAGAACAAGCAACAATGAAAAGGTAAACCAAAATAACTAATAAATGTGTTTACAGATGAAAGGAAAGAACTGAGTAGAGGAGACACTAACAGAAGTTAAGACTTCCCTGAACATTCTTTGGTTATAGTTTATAATCATATGAGTGTTTTATATAATTATAAATAAGGGCTGGGGATGTTGCTCAGAAGTAGAGTGCTTGCCTAGCATACTTGAGGCCCTGAGTTCAATCCCCAATACTGCAAATATTAAGTCAATAAATTATGAAACAATATTATATCAAAACGGAAAATACAAGATAATGCTCCCCTTCCCGCTGTGGTACTGGGGATTTATCCCAGGGGATGCTCTACCATTATGCTACAACAACAACCTTCTTTTATTTTTAGAAACATGGTTTTGCTAAGTTGCTAAGGCTGGCCTTGAACTTGTGATCCTCCTGCCTCAGCCCCCAAATTGCTGGGATTATACAGGTGTGCTCCACCATGCCTCGTTGCTCCTGTTTCCTTCTAAGGATTTTATAGTTTTAATTCTTATATTTAGGTCTGATTCCCTTTGGGATAACTTTTATTTTATTTAGTGTGAGGTAGAGGTTCAGATTCATCCTTTTGTATATCGACATTCAGTTGTTCTAGCACCATCTGTTGAAAAAACTATTGTCATTAAAAAATCAATTGGTTTTAGATGTTTGGGTTTCTTTCTGAACTTGAATTCTATTTCACTGATCTATATGTCTGTGCTTGTGCCAGAATCACAGTTTTGATCACTGTAGCATTGTAGTGAGTTTTAAAACCATGAATTGTGAGTCTTCCAACTTCAACTTTTTTTTTTTTTTTTTTCATGGTTGTTCTGACTCTTCTGGGTCTTTTCCATAAGAATTTTAGAATCAGGGCTGGGACTGTGGCTCAGTGGTGAAGCACTCGCCTAGTATGCCTGAGGCACTGGGTTCATCCTCAGTAGTTTTTTCATTGAATTCCTTAGGATTTTCTATGTATAAGTTCAGCTTGTTCTATGAATAAAGGCAGTCTTACTTTTTAATTTTCAGTATTTCTTTTTCTTTCCAAATTCCCTCAAAGTTCAATGGTGAATGAAGTTGGGAGGATGTACATTTTTATCTTCTTCCTGGTCTAAGTGCAAAAGCATTGAGTCTTTTTTTAACTATTAAATATAATGTTTACTGCATCTTTTTTCATAGATGCTCTTATCAAGTTAAGGAAATTCCCTTTGCTGGTTGATTGAGGGTTTTTATTCTGACCTTGTCAAAATTTTTTTACCAAAAAAAAAAAAAAAAATCATCCATTGAGATGTTTTATGGTTTATTTTTTCTTTTGCTCAGAATCATATATTGCTAGCTCTCTACTGGGCAGGCCAGGAAGCAATGAAAACTTATTAGCGGTGAACGTTACTGATGCTCAGACTGTGGTCTTTAAGTATTTCCCACTAAAGGTGAGTGTGTGTGTGTATGAGTGTGTGTAGTCCTGGGGATTGAACCAAATGCTAAAGCACACTATAACACTGAGCTACATCTCCAGCCCCTAAGATTTCTTAAAGTCTATTTCAGGTTTGGGACAAGAAATGTGGAATATATTTTATGTATCAAGAAACAAGGTAGCTATCTATTTAAAGTTGTGTCAAGGATGGATTCCAATATGATTATCAAAAAGATAATTTTCAAATGCTGAGTATGTAAAAATTGAGCTCATACTAATAATAAATGCCATTTTATAAACTCATGCTTTACCTTTGGGGGTTGCTATGGAATAACTTCTGAAAATTGGTAAGTTGAAGGGGTTTTTGTCTTTCAAATACATTATATTTCAAGATAAATGATTAAGGAAAGTTTTTCTTTATAGAGGTATCTCAGCCAATGAATGTATGCCCAAAACTTCCACTGAAATAATGTGTCTAATCATCAATCATTATTAATATCTATGAAAATCAGTAGGTCAGAGTTGATGGGGTACTTTATAATAGATACAGCTGGTAGCACCTGAACACACTGCTCAAGCTCCGTACCTCTAACAGGGACTGTCCAGATAACATGTTCTGATTGATGCAATGAGAGAATACCTATGAACTAGTTCTATAATTATTTTTTTTAAGAGAGAGAATTTTTATTTTATTTTTGAATAGCAAAACCTAGTTTATTTTTTTTAATTTTTTTATTAGTAGTTCAAAACATTACAAAGCTCTTAACATATCATATTTCATACATTTGATTCAAGCGGATTATGAACTCCCATTTTTACCCCGTATACATATTGCAGAATCACATCGGTTACACATCCACTTTTTTACATACTGCCATACTAGTGTATGTTGTATTCTGCTGCCTTTCCTATCTCTACTATCCCCCCTCCCAGAGAGAGAATTTTTAAATATTTATTTAGTTAGTTAGTTTTTGCTGGACCCAACATCTTTATTTTATTTTTATGTGGTGCTGAGGATCGAACCCAGCGCCCTCTGTGCATGCCAGGTGAGCACGCTACCGCTTGAGCCACATCCCCAGCCCCTTCTATAATTATTTAATTTGAATCTTCTTTAATTTTTAAACAAATTTGAACATAAGATAAAAATATGGGTCTTCTTTTCCCTTTTTTTTTTTTTTTGGTGGTACTGGTAATTTAACCCAGAGCTTCACACATGCTAGGAAAGTGCTTGACCACTGAGCTACATCCCCAACTCTCCTTATTTTTAATTTTGACACAGGGTCTAAGTTGCCAAGGCTGATCTTGAACTTGTGATCCTTCTGCCTCAGCCTCCCAAGTCAACTGGGATTTACAGGTGTGCACGACCATGCCTGGCAGAAATACAGGTTTAACCATGCCTATTACATTGGGGATACACACATAAAACTATAATAGAGAATATAGAAAAATTGTCAAGATGATAGGGTGAAGGAACAAAAAAAATTGATTAAGCAAAAGGAGAGGAAAAAAGAAAACCAAAGTATACTAGTAAACATTAAATAAGATGGCAATTAAGGAAATTTTTTTTTTAATATTTATTTATTTTTTTTAGTTTTCGGCAGACACAACATCTTTGTTTGTATGTGGTGCTGAGGATAGAACCCAGGCTGCACGCATGTCAGGCGAGCGCGCTACCGCTTGAGCCACATCCCCAGCCCTAAGGAAAATTTTTGATTTCATTTTTTTGAGAACATGGTAAGGATTTTTGTCAAAACAAGATAACAGACTCAAGTTAGGTGTTCTGATAGTTCTGGACTCCAGGGCTTCTCTAGGAGAACAACTTCTCCTTATGTAAACAAAATGCTATCCACAACAGAAAGCACCAAGTATTCAAGATAGTGTTGAAGACAATGAACATGTACAGGGAGAAGAAAAAGTTCCTCAGTTTCATTTTCTCAGGATATGTGTTGCACTAAAGGTATGAGAATCATCTTGGTGAAAATGCTTTTATTATAGAAAACTTTAATTCTTCTAGTGCCGGGTTTCTGTTCTCGAGACTAAAAGGCTCAGGGGTCACTCTAGTTAAACTGGGCTAACTGGGCTGCACGAAATAACCACACAAGAGACACAAATACCTTTTTTGGGGGGGTTGCTGTGACGGCCCCTCTGACCTTAAGGGTCCACAGAAAGAGCGAGAGCACAAGCTGACCCCTTTTATTGAGGAGAAGCTATTCAAATGAGGCAAGGAGTCAGGTTTCAGGGGGCTGAGTCTATCTTCATGATGTCCACTGTCAGCAGGGTGATTGACATCTGGGTAGGCCATACCCAAGGGCACAGTAAGAGGAGGGGACCCACACAAGGCACTTCCATGGAAGATTCTATCCTAAACAGGGCAAGGGGTTATATTACAAAGGAACAGGTGAGCATAGCTTCACCCATGGGGCTGTAGCAAGACACACCCATTTCTGTGACTGAGCGCCTCAGCACCCAGCTGGAGAGTGTAACTCAGTCACCTGTAAGGTTGGCCTCCCACATTCTAGCTCCCCTCCAAAAAAGTTTGAGGCCCTGACCTGGACAAAGAAACCAAAATAACACTAATTTTATAGGACCTTAAGTCTATAATATAACTGTACTTACCATCTCTTTTATTCTAAAAAGGTCGAACATCTGGGGCCTGAGTGGGTGAAGCTCAGTGGAAGAGCACCTGCCTGATGTATGAGGCCCTGGGTTCGATCCTCAGCAGCACAAAACAAAACTTAACATCTATTCATCATTATCATATCCATAGACTTAATTTTTTCTCTTAGGACATTTCCACCCAAATTGGAGTTAAACCACTGTCACTTTAAAGTGCAAGGAAGTATATGCAAGATGAGTGTTTGTTCTGTGACATCCCTCGAACAGCAGTGGCCCAGGAGGAATGAAGGACTGGCTTCAGGACAAAGTTAATCAAAAAGCAAGGA